ATCCCCACCCTCGTTTTCTTTGTCCCCTGTACTTACCTTATGCCGTAGTACATTCATGGATAGTACTGTACATTTTATCTAGGTCCTAGGTTCTAGGTAAGTGCAAATAGGTAAGAGGCGCATCCGTGGCTAACCCTTCCTTGGTTCTTTCGATGCGATTGCGAGTTCCTCCAGGCTCCAGGGCCACGATATGTACTGTGATGTGTGATGGATTATTCAATCTTTTACTTTTCTTATTTTTTTCACATTCCTTTCTTGGGGAGTAAGCAGCCATGCGACCGGAGAACTCGGTCGCTATAATCCTAGCTCGGAGCTATTGGCCAACTCTTCACCGTCTGGTTCTCTAACCTAAACCGAATAACTATTTCGATATTTGTATTGAATGCGAAGACTTTCTGCTTTTTATTTCTTTGGTTTGCGAAGATCTGTTGAAGTGGGATCCTTAGTGGGGTCATAATTTGCGCTCGTCGCATGGCGAACCACCAGACCACCTAGACAAGCCCCTGGAATGCGGTTGTGGTCGGCATTGTCGCAGTGTCGCAAGTTATTGCGCTTCCGTGTCTTAACCTGTTTTGGGTGTCTACGCTTGGAGGGGTCGCAATTGTTATCTTTCAATAAGAATCATCTTTTGGAAAAAGAGAAGAAAATGCGGTGAAGAGAGTTACTAAGTATTTTGGTCATTCTGGACGCTGGTTTATATATACTTACTCAGACGAGTAAGTTATGTTGTGTTCAATTCAGCCCCCAGCCTGGCTGAGCAGTGAAGTGTCTTCGTATCTTCACCTAGCCTCAGCGCGAAGCTACTGTAAATCCAAATGCGAATGGTGTGGTGAACAAACATGTAGCTCCTAATGCAACACCATCAATATTCGTGATGCCGCTCCGGCAAGGCTATCCTTCTCGTTGGAGTCATCAAGTTCCGGTATTGCCTCCGGATACAGCAACGCTGACAGCTACTCTCCGCGAAGGAAGCTCCAATGACGAGCCTCTAGCCTTGCTGAAAATGGCAGCGTAAGCAGCTGATCTCACACCTTAGTCTTTTTAAGATTTCTGTCCTTACCTTTATCGGCGGGGTCGGCGATGTTTCGAGAATGGTCTCGGTTCAGGCATGTGCTATGCCTGTATCCTGCATGGCCGATCTCGACTCTGCCCATACCATACCATACCCATACCATACCCATCAAGCTTTTCCCGAGCAACATGGCCTGGAGATGGGTGTGAGACGACGGTTTTGGGCTACGCTTATGTTCAATGATGCAAACTGGCGTCTTTCATGTTCCGGCGCCCGTAAAGTGTTTCGAATTGGTTGGCGGACGAAGGCGAGACACTGATACCACCTTGTGTTGCTCACCAACTGCCGGCACCTTCTCTTCCAACTGGCAGAAAGGGATCTACGTGCCATCTTTATCGACCATCGACCATTCGCTACTTACGCGGCTTGCGCGTTTATTAGCGATGCAATGTTGATACCGAGAGTCGAAAGAGATAGGCAGATAGCTATCCCACTGTCCACCAAGGATAATTAATCAATCAGCTAACTTAGACATTGGCATCGGGCTGCTTGTAGTCTTCCTATCAAGCCATGATAATATAGCATCTTTAGACGCTTCTCCCCGAGTCTTGCAACGCAATATAAATAGCGTCTGCCGAGAAAAGCTTGGCCCCAACGGTCGCGTGCGTCCAATAACGATTTTGGGGGGCGATGATACCGCAATCTTCTAGGATAATATCGACCGAGCCAGTCACATTGCGCGACAATCACGAGATGCTGCAGCGCATATACTTCACTGGAGGGGCAAAAAGACATTGCTTGATACGGATGAATAAGAAGAGAGTGACAGTCAGGTCAGTCTACATACCATACTACATAACATACATATGATTCTTCTCGAAACGTTCGACAGCATCAAGTGCTACCATACCACAGTTCCCTCTGCCGTGATAGTCAAGAGAGATGATCCAGAGCATGGTTCTGTGGTTTTGTGGTTTTGTGTGACGAGCGGAATCTGCATGACATACAGAATAAATCTGCGGTAAGATGGTACACAAGGTAATACCTAATAACTAGGTACTAAAGGCTCATGATAGCCGGCAGCTCTCTAGGACTATCTAGGTACTAAGTCGACGAAGTAACCCCTAAGTAGGTTTAGGGGGACAGGGGTTTTTGAATGATCATGGATGAATTTTTTACAAAGCAATCATTAATCCGGATGATGCCATCGTCATCTTCAATTCTTCGTTTGCAAAGAGGCTCTAAGGCATTGCACTAAAACTTCTAGAATCACCCAATACTAGGCACACACTATACCTAGTAGGTATGCTGTGCGCAGACTTAATTCTCACTCGTTACTTAGGTGGCGAATCTCAAACTCATTATTCTCGTATGCATTTTGCCTTCAAAGTTGGTCAGGTTCAAATGCTCAAATGTTTCTAGAAGGAGTTTGTTCCATGTATCTTGTAGGCGTTCGCTCGCCCGATAGGTACATCCCTATTTTTCTAGTGGTACCACCGCTGGTTGATAACCCCACCACTTAGGACGAGTTGGAGTGTCTGATTGGCTTTGCTCGCATATCAGGTGCTTCTAGCATTCTTCCATCATCCCTTGCCGCTTTATCCTAGGACGGCTAATGTGAACAGGGGTGCGACGGACTATTCCGCAAAGGAACGAGATTCCTCGGATGCGATTGGGAAGCTCCTTGTGATTGGACAGGGGGGATTGGTTCTCCTTCTTCTAGCGCCCTTCTAGCGTCGCGCCACTCTCCAATACGTAGTACGGTACGTAGTCTCCTATGCTGCTTTTCCCGCATGGCTGAAGCCGACCGGGGCGAAACTGAGTGAACTGGGCGAACAACGAAGACTCTCGTTGGTGAGAGATGACGGCAGTAGAGATAATCAGGCAGACAGGTAGGTAAGGCTTCGAAACCTAACAAGAGGTGTAGTGTTACGACAAAGCGGCACCAGAACTAGCAGGACAATCACCTAGGTATATGTTCCCATATAATACCTCCCGTAGCCTTATTATTGGTCTCGACGTTGTCTGCGTGCGTGGAAGATACGATAGTCGGCTTAGGTACATGTACGTAAGAGGGAGTGGACGAAGAGGTTCATCAAGAAATTGGCGACTTTCGCCCAGCCCGAATGCTTCTCTATTCCCTATTCCCCCTCCCGAACCCCGGCCTTTGGTTGCTGGATATGTGATAATATGTAAAAGAGTAATAAATTGTCATCGGGAACTGGTCGGCGGCGTTTCTCTGATAAGAAGTACTCTTTGTCGTCGGGATATACTACATACATGTCGGTATTATAAATCATAAACCGTGAATAAGAGTAGGTGGATATTATTCAGCTATTCTATTCAAGTCATAAGGTCAATGTTCGAGATGTTTAGTTCATTGTTAACTGGAGATCTATCATAGACTAAAAAGATATACATTCGATACAATGTACTTGTCGCTCTTGTCCCATCTTCTTAGTCAAAAATTCCACTATAATCGACGAGGTTAATGGGGGACCCACCATCTAATCCCTGTCGCTGGCCCTACATGAAGTTACTGGGTACCTTGGGTACCTTGATCACCCCCAAGAGGTGGGTACCAGTACTTGTCTCCCTTTTTCCCTTTAATCTTCCTTCCTCTCCCACCCGCCTTCTGTTTCGAGTCTTTAGTTGTTCCATTCAGTCTCGTCTATTCCGTAACCTTCACCAACCGTTGAATTGTTAACGACCTCTTACCCGAAAGCTTTCGTTCAACCATACCAACTAATTATCCAACCTCATTGTTTATTAAAAAATCACCACGGCCTCGCCCATCATTCCCAATTCACCCATCTCACGTGGAAACCATCTGCAGGAAATTAGAGACCGAACGTCAATTGCTACTAATACGACTAATTCACTATAACCGGATTTTAATCGCAACCAAACGTCTGTTCAGCGCTTCAATTGTATAAATTTACAAAACTACACAAACAAACAAAACATCAGATAACGCCATTCCTTCGTGAACCCACAGTCTCCTCGTTCTGTTACGTCTGGTGGATTCAACTGTTGTGACTTGGTCCCTCCTTGCGAATCATCCGCGATCTCCCTGCTTCGTCCTTCATTCCACACACGGACTGCTGTACCAAGTACGCCGTAGAACGAGACGGCCGTTGCTTGTTGGGTTCGTTGTACTGTTCCGCTCTAGAAAACTGCTAGAAGCTCGATAACCTTTTAACCTTCCCCTGGTCCTTGGAACTACAAATTAGCCTTCGCCTAGGAATCCCGACTTGAAAGCCGAGAGAGGAAAAAAAGACTATGTTCGTCGCGAGTTACTAACCTTGGAAATTATATTGCCCGCTATACTGCGCTTAAATAAGTACCGGAAGGTTTCCACTGACATCAACTCGCCACCTCTGATACGTCACTCTCCTGCAAGCGGAATTCCTTAACTCTATCTTGGGAATCACCTCGGACAGCTGAACCTAATCTTGTCCTAAACGTGGTTTCTCTTCCCAGTTTGGGTCCGATCTGTTTGTCCCATAGACACTATCGAAAGGTTGAGTGTCGGGCAAACTTCTTATTTTCTGTCTGAACCATAGCAACTTGTCTTGTTGCTTTTGATTCATCACCTGCAGTCTGTGCTGGCCAAAATAGCACGACATTTTGGCCGGCTGATCGACTGACTTCAGGTGTTTTGAAATTTGCTTCATTTCTGCTCCTACCCGTGTGGTGCTAGGACCAGGACCCGCTGATTGGCTGGAAGGACTTGATATCTTGGAATACACGGGCTGCCTGCATATGATGAAGGCCGCTTGAGGATAGTCTACAGAAGGCTTTTTCGTGTGAATCCACCATCTCGATACGAAACAGTTCTGTCAAACAGGAAGGTCGCCAAATTTGCATGGCGTTAGAGCTTGTTTTGGGTTAAAAATTCGCTGCGAGAGCTTCTGTTTGCTCGGGGTTACACAGCCAGGCGAATTACCCGATACTTGTTCTTTATTACCACAATTTCGAAGGAATAATGGGAAAGCCTAGATTACGAGGAAGCTCGCCAGTCTACTTGAACCCGTCTCCTACGGAGTTATCTCCTCCGCCGTCGCTTTTTGAGGACTGGGACCAAGAAACTGCAATGGACACTTCACGCCCGACGAGTCTCGCCATACCGCGAACTGGCTCGCCTTTCTCCAACCCGCCATCACTAACAGATATCCTTTCCAACACAGCACCACCACCATGGACGCTCAGTTCGTTCATGGCATTCCTGTCTCAAAATCATTGCCTGGAAACCTTGGAGTTTATCCTAGATTCTGACCGGTACAGGGAAGCATATTATCAGATGATGCAGCGTCAAACGCCCAATGGCCCGGCACAAATATGTTCACTGTGGCGGAAGGTTATCGACGCTTACATCATGCCATGTTCACCACGAGAAGTGAACCTCCCATCACACGTTCGCGATTATCTACTTGAACTACCCTGCTGCAAGGCGAGTCCACCTGACCCATCTGAGCTTGACGAGGCTGTCCAGATTGTTCGAGAGCTATTGAACGATTCAGTCCTTGTACCCTTTCTCGAGTCGGTACTGCCACCTGTGTTGGAAACGCGCATGGAGGAAGAATTTCATGACCCTAGACAAGGACGCTCGCGTCTTCGGATACCTAGGGACGTCTCAACCAGTGATGAAGCGAGCACATCGCCTAGGGCATCCTATCTACCAATGTTTATCATGGGTAACCGTAATAGTGGTGGCGCCGGAAACCGATCAACAACTGCCTCGATGGAAACGGTAGATGTCGATATGATGACCGATGACAGCAGCAGCCCGCATTCGTCTTCTGGAGCCGAGCCAATGACTCCGCCCACTACACCTCCTACCTCAGATTTCACATATAACGCATCACCAAGTACGCTACAGCGAGCGATCTCCGGAAACAGCTGGAAGAAGATGGGGGCGAAGTTGGGATTGACTCGAAAAAGCAAATCCACGCGCCGTCCAGGTTCGACATCAGCCAACCAAAACCCATTATGAGGGTTACAGGTCACGCCATCACCTAATGCATCAGCTACTGCGTGCAACAGAAGTAGCTCCATCCCACCAAAACAGGAAGCTGCTGAAATTGAATGTGTATCCTGGGAGGATCCTCACCCCGGCGAACGGTTGCTGATTCCGTTCGGGGTGCCTGCCGGACAACACAGTTATCCTCAGTCTACCAGTGGAGATGCCAAGGGGGGCGTGGCCGTGAAAGCGGGGCACGCACATGAAGAAAATGGATCGTTGACGATCGGGCATGGTGATCGCGGCCGTCGCCGTAGCATCAAACCAAAACCTTTAAAGATACCCGCCAAGGTAGTAGAAGAATCGGAGGCGAAAACCGTTCCGTTTCTATCGCCGCCACCTTGTAGCTTTATTACTCCTATATCACCATTACACTTATTACCCCTCCCCGAACCTATTCCTCATTACGAACCCGAAACCGATACAGAGACCGGAACACTCGTTGGTGATGGCGACAGATCGGCAACTACCAGCCGAACGTGCCTCAGTGACTTCTCAAACTACCTTGGCATTTGCCAAGGGAAAGAGGAAAACGACTCATCGGTCACTGTCGTCGACCCTGAGTCCCTCATGCGAGCCAACTCAGTTGATGATACCTATGGCTGGGAAGCAGAGCTTGACCGCAAGATGAAGTACAGAGTCAGCACTGAGACGATGTATCCTTGCCATTGCGAATATCGGAAACCCGATGCCGGCAAACGAGGTCTTCTCCAACGTGTCTGGTCTGCATCGGGAAGGAGGATTAACTCCGGATTTTAAACATTTCTTGGTCTAATCGGAAATAATACTGTCGTCGAATCGCGACTAGAGTTGGATTAATGAATCGATTAACCGCGTCGCCTTCCTAGAGGGCGACTTTATTCAAAAACTTTCTCGGCATTGATGATTTTGGGATGCATAATTTACTCGGCGTTAAATATCAGGACAACCGGGCAACTGGGTCCTTGGGCGGTATGCATTCAAAATACACGGATACAAACAAAGGCATAGACTGGGAACCAATGGGTTTTTTTCTTCTTTTTGGCGAGGCGTTCAAACCGGATTCATGAGACGTCTGGGATATCACTATTTTTGCTACTACTAGAAGACACGAATTTCCGCTCATCATATCACACACATCGGATTGGTCTGGGTTTAGCAGCATCGTTTTGGACATGCATGTGGACGGGCTGCGAAAGATTTTTTGGGCTCTTTACACTACACGACCTGCATTGTTTAGAGCGGGATTATTATTGGACAAGTTTTAAGATGAGACGCAGTTGAGAGATGCGAAGCAAATATTTTTATTTTTTATCTTTTCGCGATTGGAGGAGCTTGATGTCGATATACCATAATCGTCGGAGCGTTGTTGGACGAAGCTATGTGAATACAGTCTGAGAGTTATTGTATATACGTTACAAATGAGCAAAAAACTTGCCATGCTACGAAGTTATTCCCGCGCTATGTGCCTTGATATGCCAATGTGATGTTCTAGTCGTCCCATGATTGTACGATTTGTACGTTACAATGCTAATGTCGTGTCCACTCTTCAGCACATCTCAGGTAAGCTACGGAAACTTGAATATATCGACATGTCTCGGCCACACCGTATTACTACACTTCACCGTTCCATCATCCCCCTTATGCAAAAGTCCAACCTATCCATTCCGAGTGATTACATCTAGAAGCACGATATTACCTCAGAAAAAGTGGTTCATAGTCTTTTTATTATTAACCAGTCGACTATCGAAACCCATTCAACCCAGGCTACATTTCCACGCCCTAGCTAGACTCATATAAAAAATCGCTAACAGCAGCGAACGTTCTTCTCAAGGAACACGGTGATAGCGCGTCGAGATGTTCCCCCCTTTGCCAAAAGGGAAAAAGCACCAATACGCCAGAAAATGCCCCCGTCCGTCCATATTTCCGTCTATGATTTCAGATTACATCTCGAGAATTTTCCCCTTATACAACCCCTTCGTTCTACTAGGTATTATATATCTATAGTATCGCACCTATTCGAGCAATTAGATACGATTTCTTATCCACCCCCTTCATGGATTACTCCTCTGCAACTGGAGGCTTATCGTGCCTTGAGTACATCTTGTACTCAAGCGATGAGCTGAAGTCGAGCTTACCCTTCTCGACCTGTGCCCTCGTTGCGGTCAACATCGGCTCTGGCAGGCCCATTGATTGCAAGAATGCAACAGCTAAATTATTGATATTGGTTAGCGCCCTGTTTCTCTCATTTCCAAATGGGAAAAAGGGTCACGTGTTTGAAGCACTTACTATCTTTCCACTCCCGTTCTTGTCTTGTCCGATCCCATTTCAACTCCTGGCTCATGATATCGATGATCTTAGGGAGACACTCAAGTGCGGCTTGGGCGTTTAGGAAGGCCAATCTGGTTCTTCGTGCTAGGACGTCGACCGCAGTCTGAGCGTATTCGTTGGTAATAGCGTATCTGATCTCGCCATCTACGAAGGGGTAGAGACGAGAGATGCGCTCTCCTCGTGCGGGGAATCGCAGGTCTGTGGGTTTACACATAGCCGCAACCGTCCACGCTCGGTCGCCATAGCTCTCAGTGAGATGCTTGGCAACCTCTGTTTCAACGCCGAAATGTTGGATCAAGTTGATGAACAGAGTTTTGCTGAAACCATGAGCACCAACCAACCGGACATTATGAGTTTGGCAAGTTCCGTTTAGAATTGCACCATCGTCTACATATGCGGTTCCACTAACTCGTGGTGCGTTGATGAAGGGCCTGATAGGGAGATTGAATTCCTTAACAGCCGCATCCACACAGTCTTCCGCCATCTGTCGGTATGTCGTCCATTTTCCACCCGCACACGTAACGAGACCGGAGTCAGAAATATCGACGAGATGGTTGCGAACGAGAGACTGGGTATTCTTGGCCTTAGGATCTTTGACAAGTGGGCGAATTCCAGACCAAGCTGCAAGCACGTCACCACGACGAACACTGATACCCGGAGATAGATAGTGGCTAACTTCGTTCAAGATCCACTGAATTGATTTCTCATCTGGTAGCGGATTTGGGGAAATGTTGGTAGGCTCGTCAGTTGTGCCCGCAATTGTGTTTCCTTGCCACGGGAGGAAGAAGATAACTCGACCATCCGACGTCGATGGGTCAATGAGTCCCATATTCGACGGGCTGTAGTAACCTGGTAAGATGACATGAACACCGGAAGCCGGCGCGACAATCTCCTTACAATCTTGGTCATCGAGTTTCCGAATCGAGTCGGTGAATGGGCCGGTACAGTTTACAATACACTTAGCCTTAATAGTAATCGGCTCGGATTTCTTACCATTGCGTTCCGGAATCAAGTCCTTTACCTGGGCACCAGAAAGTCTGCCCTTGTCATTCTTGATCAATCCAGTTACCTCGGCATGATTTAATATGGTAGCTCCATATACCGCCGCGGTCATCGCAATCGAAACGTTCATTCTTGAGTCGTTGTGAGCACCATCGTAGTATACTAGGGCACCGACGAGGTCCGTTTGCTTCAGCATGGGAAATGCATCGAGTGCCTTACTCCTAGTTAAAAAGTAGGAGCTCTCGATACCTTCACTGCCGGCGAGGAAATCGTAGAATTTAGTACCGGCCCAGTAGTACGGTGCTTTCCACCATTTGTCTAGAGGTAACATAATTGGTAGCCACGAGCTCAGGTGGGGAGCGGTCTGTAGGAAATACTTTCGTTCCTTGAGGGCCTCTTTGACTAGCTGGTACTGGCTATAGTCCAGATTCCACACAGCCTTTTCCAGGTACCTCACACCGCCGTGCACGAGCTTGGTACTTTTACTACTGGTGCCGCTGCTGAAGTCGTCTCGCTCAACAACTGCTACTTTGAGACCTCGAGTAACAGCGTCCAAGGCAACACCGGCACCAGTAGCTCCGCCGCCAATTACAAGCATATCATATTCCTGCTCTTCCCCATTGCTCTTTTTTAAGTCGGCAATCTGCTCGTCGCGCGATTTCACACTAGGAAACCGAGGAAGTTTAAATGTGCCATCTGCGCCGTAGATGGGAGGTGGAACGGCAGGGCCTTCGAAGCCGGGAATATTTCGGGGTCGGTATGAATAAAGAATAGCACCACCACCAACCGCGGCAATTGTGGTTGGAAGGGCAATCCGCCTCAATCCTCTTGCAAGTCTACTGGACATTGTAGACTAGTAGAAAAGTGAGTTCTAATTGGTATTCGAACGGGTTTCGTATAGCTGCACTGCTAGTAGGGCTTCCTAGCAATGCAAAGTATGGCTGATTGCGTTCTGGTATGAATGTGAACACAATAGCTAAGCCAACTAGGTTTTTCCAGCTTAAGCCTCGTCAAAGGGATGGCAAGGCTTGGCGGAGGGATGAAAGATGAAGAAGTCTTTAATCGTCGGTCGGCTACACCGATAAAAGAAATTTCAATTCAGAATTGAGTATGTGACTCCAAGCTCGCAGCTGCAAACGCTTAAATAATACTTAAATATATGTGGTGCGTTGAAATAATTAAGAGGAATTTCCCTCACACTTTCATGTGGTGATGATGAAGCTGGATGGTGTTGGTACAAGCGTGGGGGTGACCAGGCCGTCTTCGACTTCTCCTTGTTAGCGGAGAATGGGAATTGGAGGATTTGGAGGAATAATGGAGAAGACTACGTGGAAAAGTTGATACATGATCAACATCAGTTTCATATCAGATACAAAGCAACAAAGTTAAACCGAAATAAATATGGAGGTAAAGGTATCGCTCTTAGGTCCTTAGCCGTGCCATTAGCTTGTGAGAAACCGGGTACCGCAGCTCCTTCCCCGATGCGAAAAGGTGAGCTACGGCACAAACCCCACAGTTGACCCGTAATTAGAATGCGGCAACATCCACATGACAGGAGAAAACCTTACGGGTGGGTGCGGTAGAAAAAAAGTTGTAAAGCGCGCAACCCCGCAAAAGGAGGATATGCATCTACCGAGATATCTAAACAGCTAGGTTGAACAGGGACAAGCTTTCCAAGATTCTTAGACCTGCTCGGTAAGAAATAGCCCGTCAATCATAATCCGATTTTAGATAGGTACAATTTCGTCACACTGCCTCTATCGACTGAGAATGAACTTTATCCATAGATAGTGCTTTATGTAATCTTATAAACTTGATTGGCAAATTAGCAGAGCACTCTCAATGTTTGCTTGCATATATCGATATATATGAACAAAAAGGGACGATCCACTCAACATAGCTCTCTTTCTCCACGTGCCCGCGTCTCATTATGCAACCAATGATTACCCGAACAAACAAAGCCCCATATCACCTGAACTGTTGAGAATTCCAATCATAAATCCTTTTCATTACGCACTTATCTAAGTACTTATATACATATGGTGATTATTATGTGAAGTCGTCACCATCTTATGGCCATCTACATTATACGACTGGGTTGACGACTGGATCAGCGACCAAAGTCGTGGGATATTAGAGTCCGTCGACGCAAACAGCGAAGAGCTCATCAACGAATGTAATTACTTCGTTAACCTTCTCGCGTTCAGCTACAACCGAGCCAAAGGGTGCCCCTGCCCGTGTATCCTCTATTCCGGGTAAAACATCCATCTCGAAATCGAAACCCGCTCCAGCCTTGACCATCGTCACCCGGTCTGTGCTCGTAACGGCTTTCGATGGGATAGACAACTTTCTTCCTGAATCCTCGATTTGGCTTATATCTACCTGGATTTCTTGAGACACCATAATCCCACCTAAACCAGCCAAAGAAGAAGACTGATATATCCCCGTTTTATCGGACATTGCATCACTGCCTAACCTTTCTCGATATTGAGAGTCTTGGTTGCAGAGCTTTATCGTAGAGCCGATGTGATCCGAATCATGGCTAGAAGACCTTCGACCTGACTGGGTTTGGTCCGGATAGCTACTGTCCATAACATCATAGTTGTTGATATTCGATCTTCCGAGACGACGTAGAATACCAAAGCGATTTTGCGAGAAGATAGCTCGTCCGGCTCGTTGGTACACTGCTCTCGGTGGTTCAGCCGGCGCCGAATTCGCGATCGGAGATAATTCCCGATGCACGTATCGCGCAAAAGCAGCTAACTGTGGCGAATCCTTATACGCCATCTGGTGGACTTTGAAGAAATTTAAAGGAATGAATTCGCACCTCGGACTGCTGGCGCTAACGTGAATTGGCATCATTATACAAAGAGAAATCATCGTGCAGAATTTAGCCGAGCTTGATCCCGCTTGAGCCCGACAAGGGACTTGGACCACCTTGGATGTAATTACAGCATCATCGACGATGGGATCATCTATCCAAGCACGAAGTGATTGGAGAGCGTCGTACATTTGAGAGGCGAAGAGTACTTCTCGGGGAGACAGCATTTTCAACTCGTCAAGAAGGTGAAAGATGGCGCGAACATTCATTCTATCGAGGTGCCGAATAACTACAACACAATAAATTAGCACTTTTATTCGCTGAAAATCATGATGTGGGATATACATACTTTCCATCTGCCACGCCTCGAGACGTTCGATTGGTATCGGCATGGTCGGCAGCAAGTTTCGAGTGCCCTTCTTGACTACAATATCGAACCCAAAGCTTCCGACTCGAGCTTTAACACCGAAGAAGCCTAAGTGTACGCCCGGTCTCATCACAGCGCTCCCCTCAGAAAAAGTTGCCATATTCGTCAGTTTACCTTTCAGGTCCCTCGTCTTTATCTGCATGCGTGATCCAATGATCCCACACACCTGGTGAATCTCTGCAAACCGGAAGCCGGCGGCCTCAAGTCGATTCACGTCATGGGTATGTTCGAGACGGCGAACAAGAAACATGAGCGAACCACGCCCATATTCATGTTGTCGCATAATCCCATTTTCGCGCCCTCCACCAAATTGGCCGTAGGTTCCTTCTTCTAGGGTACAGTCGACGACGCTCTGGTCGATTTTTTGAGGTAATTGGTTTGCTCCGGTAGCTAGGATATCGTCCCATAAAATTCCGACGTCGGTTAGCTGCTCTTTCAATTTATTTGCCAAACTCGCTGCAGCAACGCAGAATAATTCTCGGAAAATAGCATCGTAATTTTCGATAGGTTGTCCATCATCAGTAATGAGGCGAATCTTACTATCTCGGCTACCCTTCGGAAGATGTGCCAAGTGGCCGGTCATGCCATCAATCATACCGTTCACGCTGTTCCAGTTCCGAGAAACTTGAAACATCCAATGGAAAAGGGGATTCGAAATATTAAATATGTCGCCTTGGGTTCTTTCCACATAAGTATCCGTTATCTTCTCACTAGGAAGCAAGCCATCTGGGCTCACCAAGATCCTCCCTGACTTATCGAACACCGCAACCCCTAAAACGATCTGTTGCGCTTTATTCGCATTGCGCCTCGTGAGCCATGATTCATAGATGATGGATCCTATTATGAAGAAGACAGCAATGACCGATAAGCTAGTGGCGACTTTGAGATCCTGGCTATGGGTGATTTGGGCGCGCTCATCCAAATGTAGCAGACGGTATTGGGTACCTACGGCTGCGACCCAATGCATTCCCGATACGGCTCCAGCTAGAACGAATGCCGACAACGACCTCTTCCACCATGTATTCCTCCAAGATGCTCTGAAAACGAAGAATAGTGACAAGGCCAGAGTACTATCGAATATGGCGATGATGGCTGCTCCCGTCACATACACCGCGTTATATACGCAATCGTAGTTTTCGATGGAAAGGTTGCCTAGATAATGCATCCCAGATATGCTGGTTCCAGCAAGTATTCCTCCGCAGCAAATCCGCCACCAGGAGACCTTGTAGCTTGCACCGATAGCCAGGAAAGTTACAAGAAGTACGATTACCGGCGCGAAGAACGAAAGCGCAGAGAAGCCGCTCGAATAGTTGATGCGCAGTTCAGGTTCGTTGTGAGCTAAGACGATTGCTCGGTTGCCGACAAAATGCTGCAACCGATTAGGTGACGGCTAGTTTATTGATGGGTACTTCGTAATGAAATCTTACCATACACCAGATCGCTATTCCTCCCATCGCTATTGCGGCACTGACGAGGATGAGATGGTTGGCTAGGCCATTGCGGGAAGTTCGCTTGTTGAGTAGCTCAAGCGTCAAAACCGCTCCGACGCAAGACACGACATAGCTTAAAACTATCAAGCCACGTTGGAAGGACTGGGGAACGATCTGTCCAACGTACTGCAACAGAGCCTCATCGCTTATGGACATCGTGAAGCGCGCTTCTTGAGGAAAGGGTCGATGGTCACCTGAGTGACAGGTAGCCAAGAGGTGATTTCAGTCATCAATAAGGCTTATAGTAATGAGGACGGCATGTTGTTACTTGAAGGCTTAAGTTCATCAAGTTACTTGATCACCACTTGAAAAGCACCAGAACGAAGAACCTAGCAGCCTTCAATTCGTCGGCCTTGGAATGCCAAGAGGTAGGAAGAGGAATGGTTAGGTTAACACTTGTAAGCTGAAGCTGAAGCTTAGGCGTTTTCCTGGGGAGCGCCACACGCGTATGAGGGCGCCCTGAGCCTTGATTTAGAAGGAATGAAGGATGATTCCGAATTCGACAAGATAGGTATCTACTAGGTAGTCACGCTATGACATGGTCATGCTAAATTAGAGGTAAAGTCGAAGTCGATGACGCTCTAGAGCCTAACTAGCAACTACCTAAGTAGCACAATAGTTGATAACACGTCCCAAGAATAATTATAGCAGCACTGTCTCACTCGATGAGTACGAAAGTGTCGATTTCAGAACGAACCGGAACTGCACGGAAAGAGTTCTCATTGGACCCCAAAGATTTCCTTTCTTAATAGCGTACTAGGAGCAAACGTGGGAATATTGATATTCTACTAACTGTAGCAGTTCCAACACAACGGTACTCACATTAAGAACAGGGCTTGGCGCGTCAACCAACGACATGATACATGGAATTGCCTTATCACAGGTACGTTATTTCCATAACTCATTGATCATTCATAACCCCAATGCTCCTACTGGGCTTTTCCCATGGACGATCACTAATGTATGGTATATATATGACCTTTTCTAACAAGCCAATGAAGATGAGCATAAATAACATCTTTATAGTACACGGACCGCCACTTACGAAGCAGCTACTCTCTAAGAGAAACCTGCACTTTACCAGCTTACTAGGCAAGTATATTTGGGCTTCCTGTGTGTCACAATCCACAGAGGTTTAATATGCGTCGACGGATACCCCCAGCTAGGACTGCCGCTAGATTGCCCTATCCGACTGCTCATTATCATTTCTAGTCTAACGATCGCCTCATCGGCTTGGCTTGCTCCGTGAGCAACAGTCTTTACTATTAACACCTCGAAAGCTCAATGCTTAAAGTCTTGCGTCAGACACGAATGTATCTAACTCTTTACCATAAAGCATACATATGTACTAATGGTTTTGTATGTTGGCTTCAAAACACCAATTCTACACCAATTTTTAAGATACCAAATTCTCAACCGGAGTCGAATAAGCCTCGATATACAGGGATTGGTAAACCTGTGTAGATCTTGCAGGGTTATAGGGCAAAAGGATGCAGGCACTTCCCCCAACCCTTAATCCTGAATGGTTTACGTTGTACTCCGAGATCTCATTTCCAAGCATTCGGTAATCTTCGATCCAAGGGAGGCTCAGTACTGTATTAAATGAATCCCTGGAAAACTATTAATCGCTTCGACTGTATCACGCTAGTCAATTCTGCCTTGATTAACAGATTGGCTCTTGATCACTTCTTTTCGAAATTGACCTAGCAGCCTAGTTCAGGACTTCGGTTTAATTTTTGGTGAAAAGGAAGAGATCGGCACGCCATAGAAGCATAGGTCGACCGTAACTCGACGCCATTGGGGTTGCTTCCCGTGTCTCCTTCAGCCATAATGATGGCCAATGAAGAATTCCTCCCATTAATCGGTATCGATTAACTTGATCTAAAGCGCTATTGAAGATATGATTCTGATCTCCGTTCGACGATCTTGATAGGCACTACTGCAGAATTGGGCTCCCCAACCGCAGATGTTCCACCGACGATCGGACCAAAAGTTCCAAATCTGCGGTTACTCAACAGACTGCGTTGATATTGATTTGCTCGGGTCCGACGGCAAAAGGCTGCAGGAATTAGTTTCGCCACGAGGTAGATGAACTTTTACTGCCAAGACTACCAGCTGGTGGTGGCGTTGAAAAGCAGAAACAAAGCCATGTGCTTCGTGGCAACAGGTTTCTAGCAGCAGAAAAAGAAGAACAGGTGGGAAATTGTGAGTCTTACCAATGATGGTAATATTCCAGACTCTGCCTGTCTTGCTTTGATCGTCTAGGATATAACTAGCAGATTATAGCTTTGTTAGTGAATCTCATGGCTAACAATACCTTACCAACCTGCCAACCTCGACATTGGACTAATTGCCAAGCCGAAGAATCCATAAAGGCTTTTTGATCTCTTACTGGTACTTGCGTTCTCGCGTTCTCGCGTCTTTCTATTTACCTCAGTCCCGATCAGTGGCTCAAATCCTCAGGAATCATGCGTTAGCCATAAGCTCTGTGGCTATCAGGACCTCGGAGAGCGCTGGTGAGAGTTCGGCTGCTTGTAATGGCTCGCTGTCCGAATATTGAGAAATAAGGCCGTTCTTGTGTTGGTCCCCTCGTGTCGTGTTACGAAGCCGCGCAACATACCTATCTAGGCGGATAGCATGGCAAGGCAAGGCCTCGGGGGCAAGTCTTCTCAAAAGCAAATGGCGGAATTTACCGCGTATATGGCGTTACCAAGGAAACATCTTACGCTGCCCAACTCTAAGATTTCTTGCAGCTTGCGTACTAGACGTCTTGAACTAATACGACTTGCCGGAAGTTCCGTTCGAAGTTCTATTTACCGTCGGGGTCGGAATCTCCGCGTGTACACTAAAATGAATTATTAGAAGTCGTTGAATTAGTTAGACATTTACTGTTGGTTCGTAGACATGGGCATGGCTATGGTAACAGCCGGTCGAGTGATCTAGAACTATTATTCTACCACTTGATGTCTCATCTCTTGTTAGGTCAACCTGAATTAGCCAAGTTCAATGGACCTAAAGGATTCTAATGAAAAGCTTTTGGACTTGAATTTATGAGGAATTAAATTACCTTGTTTTTTCGACTGCTCCTAGCCTAGAAAGAGGAAATTTCTGAAGGTAAGCGTCGCCCTCAAACTATTGTAGATATAACGATTGAAACCACTTCGTCCTCGTATCCTTCAATAGATTTCTGAAGAATTCCTACAGAAATTTTGATCTCAATTCCCGAGTTATATCTGCTATGGTGAAGGCCCTTAGAACGTGACAATTAGACACAATTAAAGGTACCCTCTACGGACCTATCACAGCCCTGAAAGGAGTTGGTACAGAACTTGAGATAGATATTTTATTCAATGATGATATTAGAGGAACTATCATCAAATCAACTCTGTGGAATCCACAGAGTTGATTATGGGACTGAATATGTCTATCACCTCCTTGCATCGTTCCCTTTTGGAAAAAAAGGGGTTCCAAGGTTATCAGCGATGCTTCCAAGATCCCTTCTACGGGACGTACCTTTGTATTTTATAGAGCTCCACCCCGCTGAGATGCTAAACTTAACCCCACACTTGCCCCGCGTACGTCAGTCATACAGGGTTATCGCAATGCTCAATTAGTACCGATAATTCGACGAATTTTCATCAAGCTTCACTCTCAAACTTCACATCGTCGCGAACCACCAACCAAGAAGATATTTTGTTCGTCGTTTCAAAGAACGCGCGAGAATAACAGAAAATAATAAGTCATCGAAGAACCACCACCTTAAAAGAATAGTGACACTAAACCACCCAACCAACAATCCCCTCGGCGCGCATCGGGGCCGCCAAAAAAGAGAAGAAAATGTCTCCAACCCCGGAATCCATCAAACTCGCACCTCTCCCCCCCTTCAAACCCGACCTCTACCAGCGCGCCTGGCAATCGATACCGCACCCCACACTCCCGCTCCTCGCGACCGCGCACCAAAAATCCGTAACCGTCTTCTCGCTCTCAACGCTCACAGCACATTCCGCGCTAACCAACGGCCACGAGCGCTCCGTGCGCTCCACAACCTGGAAGCCGAACCTGCCGCCTCACAAACTATGTCTCGTAACCGGCAGCTTCGACTCGACGGCGGGGTTATGGCGATGGACGGACGAAGGCGCCGGGGATCTCGAGGTCGAAGTCACGAACAACACCAGCGACTCCGACGGGGAAAAGGGGGGTGATAAAGACTGGGAGCTGATAATCATCCTCGACGGACAAGACTCGGAGATTAAATCCGTGTCGTTCTCGCCGACGGGACAGTTCCTGGCGACGTGTAGCCGGGACAAATCCGTCTGGGTATGGGAGGACGTAGGCGCGAGCGAGGACGACGACGAGTGGGAGACGGTGGCGGTGCTGAGTGAGCACGAAGGCGATGTTAAGGCCGTGGCGTGGTGTCCGGAGACGAATCGCGCGGGGAGAGGGCGGTACAGTAGCGATGTGCTTGCGAGCGCGAGTTATGATAACACGGTGCGTGTGTGGCGCGAGGAGGGCGAGCAGGAGTGGGTTTGTGTTGCCGTGCTTGAGGGACACACGGGCACGGTTTGGGGGGTTCAGTGGGAGCCGAAGCCTAGAGGGACTGGGTTTCCGCGGATTATGTCGTGGAGTGCGGATAAGACGGTGCGGATATGGTCGCTTAAGGAAGAGGAGGAGGAAGAACAGCCGCAGCATGCGTGGGGTGGTGGTTTGGGCGGTATTCCGAATACGATGCGTAGAAGCTTAAAGGAGGAGTGGACGTGTACGGCTGTGTTGCCGCAGGCGCATACGAGGGATATATACTCGGCTACGTGGAGCTCGGAGACGGGTATGGTGGCGAGTACGGGGAGCGATGGGGTTATCGCTGTTTACACAGAGAGTGAGGAGACAGGTCCGAATGGTACGGTGGAGGATGAAGCCGCAGCGGAGCTCGATGGCGATGTTCCTATGACTAACGGCCATACGGAAGAGAAGCCAGAACAGAGTAAGAGATGGAAGGTCGTTTCGACGATATCAGCTGTGCATGGACCATACGAAGTCAACCATATAACTTGGTGTAAGAGGTATGACCAAGGATGTCCGCCGGAGAGAAGAGGTATCGAGGAGATGCTAGTTTCGACTGGAGATGATGGCATTGTTCGACCATGGCAGATTATACAATCATGATCGCCGAGAAGGCACTTGATCTGAAAGATGTCAGTCTGAAGACTGATCGAGTGTATTGCTCAAAACTGTACATAATTGCTGGGAAGGCTGAATACCACATGCATTGAAAGGAAGCATATCACTTGCAATCTTACGCCATGAACAGATCAAGCCCAGAAAACAATTAACAATTCTCTCATAGAGAATGTCTTCACCCCATACCTACCTACTGTACAAGAATTATTCAAGGATTTTTAGAAAACGAGTTTTCGAAAGCAAACACCTCCAACCACCCTACCTCATCACCCTTCCAAGTCTATCCCGTCTTCTTTACGCCAGCCAAGCAGGTCCAAAAAACAACACCCCAACGACTAAACCCTCACCGCCCATCAGTGTCCCCCAGTGGCTCGCAAAAACACCAAATATACACCATCTTCCGCCAGCAGCACCTCGTACACCACTCCTCCCCGCGCCTCCCCCCAGCCCCAGACCCAACAACCGTAGCCAGCAAACTCCAGCGCTGATCCGCCGGCCGTCCACACGCCTTACAAACCCACGCCTCCCGCTCCACGCGCGGTATATCATCGAAACACCGCGCAACCGCACACGAACCCCCCACATCAGGCGATCCCCGGACCCTCAGCCCTCTCAACACCCCTCCTCGCCCTACACTCCCTTCCCCATCCGCACACCCCAGTATCCCATCAAACGCAGATCTCGGCCCCGGAGCCGGCCTCGCTATGCTTGTCCCGCGCATATACGGATGCGTCTCCAGATTCCCGTGTCCGCTGCGCACGCCGCGGAACGGCTGCTCGAAGACGGCCGCCGAGGCGCGGCCGGGGTAATGGTGCGAGGCGGAGCGTCCGCCTTGCGCGGACAGCCACTCCGCGTATGCGAGGGGCGTCGCGGGCGCTTGGTGCGGAGGGTACACTGGTTTCTGCGGGTACGCGTGGATATCGACGGTTTCGACGGTCGGGGGGGAGTGGCGTTTGCTTATCGTGCGGAGGCGCGGGATCCTAGGCCCGTTTACGCCTGGGTTATCGACTGCGCTGCTCCCGCCTGGCTCGGAGGCCTCGCCGCTGGGACGTCTGCTGCCGCTGCTGCATCGCCGGTGGGGGTTGGGGTTTGGGGAGGCGGAGAGGTCGTCTAGACTGAAGGAGAGCTGGCGGCGGCGGAGGAGATGGCGGGGAGGGGTGTTTTGGTTGCTGGGTTCGTTGGGGGTGGCTTTGCTGCTGGTGCTTAGGCTTGAGGGCTGGTGTTTTAGGAGGGGTGAGATGTTTGATCCCGCGAGACTGCTTCCTGTTCGCAGCGTTGCGATGCTCCGCTGTTCGGCGATGGGCGCGAGCTCTGTGCCGTGTCCGTATAGAAACTGTGTGTCGAACGTGGATGTTGAAGCAGACTGTTCGAGTCTTGATAAAGGGGACTCGGAGTTCAGGTCTATGGGGCTGGATTGAGAAGTAGGAGTCATGGGCCTATTTGTCTTTGTTGGCGTCGAGATTGGAACCAGAGCCGGATCAGGGGTTTGGTAAGGGGATCTGATAGCGTCACCTGGATCTGATGCCCAGGCCGCATCGTAGATGGAGTTGTGGGAGCTAGGCTGGCTCTTAGAGGAGTCCTTGCGGTCCCAGAGGGCTTCAGGAGAGCGTTGGTACGTAGGTGTCTTGCTAATATTAGATCGGTTTGAAAGAGGGATGCGGGATCTATATGTTGTTGCCGAAAGACCATTAAGGGCACGTTTAATGTTGCTGTCCATGTTTCATGCTAATGGTGATACTATTGCTAAGTATCTGGGTGATGTTGCAAATAATCCTATGCCAATCATTAGGGGCTTGAGGGTTAGATGCTATGATAGGGAAATATGATGTTTTTAAAGCACCACTTTCGCTCTCCATCCACGTGAATAAATAAATAAATTGCTCGACTACGTTAACTACCTAAGGGTGTGCCTTCTACTTTACTTAGGGGGAGAAGGTATCTGGGACTATTTCGAGAAGTGACTTCCTCCCAACTGTTAGTCCATGACATACATATGTACCTACATACTACCTAGGTATGTACCCGGAATTACCCCGTATTCGATGCGCCGATTATTCTTTCCATCGAGCAATTGCTGAAATGAGACTACTTAGTACTAACACATTAAAGTCAATTTGGATGCAAGGTGTGTTCTCGATTGCCACCTAAGCAAATGGTATCATAGTATCATTAGTCTACCCTATCATAAGGGGTTCCATGCAATGTATTTTCCTGGCCTCCTAACCAGAACGCCGAATGCCCATGCAATTATCTCATCACTCCGTGCTAGCCTGAATTCCTTCCGCCGTTAATGCCTTCTGGTACTCGTTTATGGCATGGTCTATGGACTCGATTGCAGGTTCCATGAGCGTCAAGACAGCATGTCTACCACCACGAATAGCCTTAGAATTGAACTTGATCTTTCTCTTCGTACGTTCGTAGATCTGGTAGATTTCCTCCTTTCTTTTCTTGATCAGCTGCTCTCGTACCTGCTCAGCCTCCTCGGCGACGGCATTAATTCTGTCCTTAGATCGTTTAAGGGCCTCGACCGAATACCCGAGTTCAACAGCTCGATCAGGGTCGCCCGAGAGGAACGCGGACCAGAATTGCCTGATGAATTCTATAGTGGTGGCATGGGTTAGGTTGCAGGTCTGGGTCATGTCTGGAGTCAATCCCATCGGCGATGTCTCATCTGAGTCCTGGCTAAAGTGCTGAGCTCGTTGCTGCGCCATACTGTCGAGTATTTGCTTTTGCGCAGTCTTTCGTGATGCTCTTGATCCAACATGAGCCGGCTTCTGTCCCTCTTCGTCGCTTTCACTATCATCATCAATACCTAGCGACGAATGGAGATCAACACCACCAGCACTGTACTGGCCGAGGCCCTTTAAATCGCCCTGTACATCCTTAAGTACCTTAGATGGTTTTTGTTTCTCGTAGACTGAAGCTGTTTCAGAGATGGTGTCAGTGTTGCTCGAAAAGAAGTTGCTCTGTTCCTTGATGTTGAGAATTATACGGCTTTCTTCAACATCCCCACGAAGATCACGCAGGGCAAGCTCTCGATAGGTGTCATTTTCTGGCTCTACCGGAATCGTAGGATCGGTTTCGCGCGAGGCAGTACTGGCAAGTAGCTTCTCGCTAATGCTGTTCAATGTCTGAATGATAGGTACCTCCTTTCTACCTCTTGGCCGCATCTCGATATCTTTGCGGTTTCCACTCTTCAGGCCGCCCTGGTTCTCTTCGTTTCCTTCTACATCAATGATGTGGGGTATGTGTTGAGATAAGAGCTTGCTCTTGAAGTCTTTGATGTCGTCATATTCGTCGTATTGATCGAAGAGCGAGTCGGGTTTCTCAAGCTCGGTAACACGTTCTCCTCTTAACTGCTTAGACAGCTTGCTGAGGAAGAATCGCTCCCAGAAATCGTTCTGCTTCACGGGTGGGACATTCTCGTTGTAGATTCGCTTGACCAGAGGATGCTGGTTAAGGATCATCTGAATCTGTTCGACACTAAACTTGATCTTCAGCTCACTAGGCTTGTTCGGATCTGCACTGGACTCCATGGTAGGTTTCACTTGGGCCAATACATTGTAAGGGCCTTTCTTCTGGTTATTCTCAATAGCATGAGCTCGGAGTAGATTGATCCTCGCAGACCAGAATTGAGTATTGAACGTCGTATCTGACATGGATTCGGGTTTCGTCTTCCGAGCTTCCATGTACATCTGAGAAAGGGTACGATCTGCCCTTAGAAGGGATTGCTGTAGTGTGATGTCATTCTTCAAAGCGTCGTCGTCGAATAGACGCGCCTTTGTTGGCTTTGAGTTCACAGCATTGGCGAAGGCTATTGATGCCGAGGCGCTGCCCCCTGAGCCTCCCGAAGGCGCAGCAGGACGTGGGACACTAGGATCGTTATTCTTGACCTCAACAAGAAGTTTGGATAGAAGATCTCTGATCACATTGGCTTCCGCTCTTGGATCCGAGGGAGAATTGAAGTGGAATAAATAAGTAGATGGATCTGAGCTTCCAGGGGGTTTATCAAAAATCTTTAGCATAACCTTAGCGGCACTATCGGGGGTTTGCTGAAGATCTAGTAAAAAGTTATTAATTTGGTATTTGTAGAATGGGTGGATAATCTTACTGGTGATGTTTGAAATGGACAACGACACAGATGGTGGACCACCTGGTGCAGAGTTTGGCGTCCATATGACATTCTTTCGGTCGGGAGTGAGTGTGAGGATGCCGTCTTTTTTCTTATAGGCAGCAGCGCCCGTAGGGAGAGCCATGTTGTATGGTAAGATAATGCAGTGGGACGAAGTGAAGGTTGTCGTATTGTAAATAAAAATGAGAGCCCAATGTTTCAAGTATAGCAGCCTCCAAGGAGGCTGCACGATGTTTCTCTTGAAGCTTTAATGCAGCAACGTTATTTGCATGTATCGTCTCATCAGTCAACGGTCCCTAAATGAAAAGGAATGCAAAGGGAACGCCTAAGCGTGGGATGGAAAATGTTCAACAAAACATCCGTATGACCACATTCGAAATGAACAACTGCGTTTGGTTTATGTACTAGCTGGTATTTATGAGTCGTTTCTGTGAAGACGAATTATGAACATGTAGAATGTTTTGATAGGATGATTCATAATGAAGCAGGAAGAACAGTCAAAGGCAGTCAAATAAGTTGTTGCACTAGCCACAATCAATTGATGAAACGGACCCGGACACATAAGTACGTACCCCATTAAAAGCCACAACAGAAGCATTAGAAGTGGCTGAAGCTCGAGATGTTCACATGTACCTATCCTTGCAAAAAGAAATGCTTTAATTGGATAAAGTATTTTTAATCCAGCAAATGATCTAGGTTTGAGCTGCTACGTGACGACATCTTGAGACATCATCATTGAAACGGGACATTTATTGGCATGTCGTATCTTCACCGCGGGAATAGTTTTAGGGTTTATTGAAGATTCGGTTATTTCCCTATTATTTTCCTAAGTCGATACGTATGTATATTTCCGCTTCATCGAAGATAAATCTCCACTTGGAGGCGTCAACGTGGAATCCGCTCATTGTTATTCTTGGATGGTAACACAGACACCCATACATAAAGTTTGGCATACCTAACTGTAACACGGGGCTATCAGTTAATTAGGTTCTGGATAGGTACTTCGTACACAAACAATGGATATTTTAATCAATTGAGTTCAACATTGAGCTTGGTAAGTACTGATAATTGATAATTCTAGTTGCTAGAATCAGTTGAGTCTTTTGCAAATATGCCTAATACTGTATAAATGCAAAAGCGGTAGGTCACTTGAGCGATAAAAAATCCATTGCCAAACACATCTATAAAAAAAGTCTACATAGCCTCGGTGGTTTTTTTTACGGCCAGAGTCGGACCTTTCCACCGAATCAAAAGCCCACATTTGAAGCGCTGCCCTATCCCAGCTTTGTTCTGGGAGCCGAATTTAGCCTGTAATTACATTCTATTAGTTATATGCATATAGCGGCAACCGAAAAAGACAGGTTTAGTTGCATGGGAAAGAGCTTTTAATCGAATAATCGGCACCCCCGGGCCTTCTTCTTGGCCACTTTGATCTGCAACCGGGTGACGACAGGGGCAGTCGCATTTGCCAGTCGCTTTACTGCATTTTTACTTTCTCCAACTTGGAAGTGTGACCTTTCCCAGTTTCCTTTTCCTTCAGCTTCAACACCACAACTCTCTTACCTAGTAAGGTTGTTGTTCATCCAAGACTTACTCCGCCGCTCCTTAATCTCTTCTAGAGATCTTAGTATCTCGCCCTTCGGTAGGAGTTTTAATAAAAGTCATTGAAAGTCATTGTTGGGGAATTTTACATGCCACAGTAGACAAGATCTAGCCCTATCTTCCCTATCTTCCCTACACCTAATACTCTTTTCTTTAAGCTGTTAAAGCATTAGCCTGGCGCCATGCTGAGCAGCACTCTTCGGTCTTCGACCAGCCAGCTCCTTAGAGCTAGCTGTCGAAGTTCGAGATGCGCCGCCCAAGCTACGAGATGTTATTCTCTTAGTTCCGCTCGCCGTCCTCTCGCCGTCGCCTCTCAGATGAGACATTCCTCGACCACCTCCACGCCCCCGTCTCCTAATGACAACTTCCTGTCCGGTAATACCGCGAATTATATCGACGAGATGTACCTACAATGGAAGGAGGACCCGTCGAGTGTCCATGTATCGTGGCAAGTCTACTTCAAGAACATGGAGAGTGGTGATATGCCTATCCAGCAGGCCTTCACTCCTCCCCCAACTCTTGTACCTAGTGCAACGGGAGGTGTTGGCCCAACCGTAGGCTTGGGACCTAGTCATGGTTCTGATGTGACGAACCATCTAAAAGTCCAATTATTAGTTCGCGCATACCAGGCCCGTGGCCACCACAAGGCCAATATCGATCCTCTTGGCATTCGTAACGAACAAAAGGGATTTACCAATGTTAAGCCCAAGGAATTGTCCCTCGAACACTACCAATTTACCGAGAAAGATCTTGATAAGGAGTTCGAGCTCGGTCCTGGAATCTTGCCGCGCTTCAAGCGAGATGGCCGAGAGAAAATGACTCTACGCGAGATCATCGCCGCTTGCGAGAAAATATATTGTGGATCGTATGGCGTCGAATTCATCCATATCCCTGATAGAGGAAAGTGCGATTGGTTGAGAGAACGTGTTGAGGTTCCTCAGCCATTCAAGTACTCGATTGATGAGAAGCGCCGAATTCTCGACCGCTTAATTTGGAGTTCTAGTTTCGAGTCTTTCTTGGCCACCAAGTACCCCAACGACAAGCGATTCGGTCTGGAAGGTTGCGAGACTCTCGTACCGGGTATGAAGGCGCTTATCGACCGAAGTGTCGATTACGGTGTAAAGGACATCGTCATTGGAATGCCTCACCGTGGGCGTCTCAACGTACTCAGCAATGTCGTCCGCAAGCCGAACGAATCCATCTTCAGCGAATTCGCAGGTACGGCTGGTGCCGAAGATGAAGGGTCTGGCGATGTCAAATACCATCTAGGAATGAATTTCGAGCGACCTACCCCATCTGGCAAGCGAGTACAGCTTTCTCTAGTTGCCAACCCCTCGCATCTTGAAGCCGAAGACCCGGTTGTGCTAGGAAAGACCAGGGCCATCCAGCACTACAATAACGACGAATCGACACATCGAACCGCCATGAGCGTGTTGCTGCATGGTGACGCTGCTTTTGCCGCCCAGGGTATCGTATACGAATGTCTCGGTTTCCACTCCCTGCCGGCATTCTCAACCGGCGGAACGATCCACCTAGTCGTGAACAACCAGATTGGTTTCACTACCGATCCCCGATTTGCCCGCTCAACTGCGTACTGTACGGATATTGCTAAGGCCATCGATGCACCTGTCTTCCATGTTAATGCCGATGACGTTGAGGCTGTCAACTTTGTCTGTCAATTAGCTGCAGATTGGCGCGCCGAGTTCCAGTCGGACGTTGTCATCGATCTTATCTGCTACCGCAAGCACGGTCACAACGAGACTGACCAGCCATCCTTCACTCAGCCCTTGATGTACAAGCGCATTAGTGCAAAGGACCCCCAGATCAACATCTACGTCGAAAAGCTACTTCAGGATGGCACATTCACAAAGGAGGATGTCGAGGAGCACAAGCAGTGGGTCTGGGGCATGTTGGAGGAAAGTTTCACTAAGTCGAAAGACTACCAGCCGACATCGAAGGAATGGACCACCTCTGCTTGGAACGGCTTCAAGTCGCCCAAAGAATTGGCCACCGAGGTATTGCCACACATGTCGACGAGTGTCGATCAGAAGACTTTGGAACACATTGGTGAGGTCATCGGCTCTGCTCCCGAAGAGTTCCAACTTCACCGCAACCTGAAGCGTATTCTCCAAAACCGCACGAAGTCGGTCCTTGAGGGTAAGAACATTGATTGGTCGACTGCCGAAGCTCTCGCCTTCGGTTCGCTCGTCACCGAAGGCCACCACGTCCGTGTCTCTGGTCAGGATGTAGAGAGAGGCACATTCTCTCAGCGCCACTCTGTCTTCCACGATCAAGAAAATGAAAGCACGTATACTCCCTTACAGAACATCAGCAAGGACCAGGGCAAATTCGTCATCTCCAACTCTTCGTTGAGCGAGTATGGCGCTCTGGGCTTCGAATATGGTTACTCTCTGTCTTCTCCTAATGCGTTGGTCATGTGGGAGGCTCAATTTGGTGACTTCGCCAACAACGCACAGTGTGTCATCGACCAGTTCATCGCTTCCGGTGAAGTTAAGTGGATGCAGCGAACTGGTCTAGTTATGTCTCTTCCCCACGGTTATGATGGACAAGGTCCCGAGCATTCCTCTGGACGTATAGAGCGATATCTACAGCTCTCCAACGAAGACCCACGTGTGTTCCCGTCGCAGGAGAAGCTTGATCGCCAACACCAAGACTGCAACATGCAGATCGCCTACATGACAACCCCCGCGAACTTGTTCCACGTTCTTCGCCGACAGATGCACCGACAATTCCGAAAGCGTAAGTTATTTAAATCAAACCTAATGCAGTAAGCATGATTGCTAATTTTTATAGCCCTTATAATCTTCTTCTCCAAGTCCTTGTTGCGACACCCCTTGGCCCGTTCTAACATCGAGGAGTTTACGGGACCCAACGCCCATTTCCAATGGATCATTCCCGACCCCGAGCATGAGGCCGGAACTATCAAGTCTCCGGAGGAGATTGACCGTGTTATCCTATGCACTGGTCAGGTATGGGCAACGCTTCACAAGTACCGTGCTGACAACAAGATCGACAACGTCGCTCTCACCCGAATTGAGCAGCTGAACCCCTTCCCATGGGAACAGCTCAGGGAGAACCTTGACATGTACAAGAACGCCAAGACGATTGTCTGGTGTCAGGAGGAGCCTCTCAACGCTGGTGCATGGAGCTTTACGCAACCACGCATTGAGACTCTACTGAACCGTACCCAATACCACGACCGTAAGCACGTTATGTACGCCGGGCGAAACCCTTCGGCATCGGTTGCCACCGGTCTCAAGGCTGCCCACAAGAAGGAAGAGGAAGAGCTGCTGGACATGGCGTTCACTGTTTCGCAGGACAAGCTAAAGGGCGAGTAAACGGGAGAATAAAAAAGGGCAAGCATTTATTCATACGAGGACGGGGCAGGCATTAGCTCTTTATGATGTTTCTTGTATTTTATCTTGTGTATAAGGCAGCCTCGGGGGTCACAAATCGAGGCTACATAGACGGGTGGTGACTAAGGGTTTCCGAGTACTACCGTAATGCATGTTTTTATACCTTTAGGCCCGGCACGGTGCATATCCAAGGCCGAGCATTGTAAGTCACGACAAGGCTCAGTCCCGTTCTTGATCCCGAGTGGAGATCAAGCATCTATCGGATCGGGATGCTGGAGAGGTGAGTAGTACCTATCGCTTTGCCGAAATATCACCCTACATACATAATATAGCTGGGGTAGCGATAAGCACCCTGCTCCTCGTCTCCAATTTGCCAATGGCTGAAGTAATCTTTATCTTTGATATCGCATGCATGTCAGCCCTGTGACGAAATCAAGCTGATTTGAACCAACAACGTTTACGCTATAGGTACCTAATTACACCATTTATCACTATGTTACCAACTGATATTCGGAAGGCTCTCCCTAGCGGGGTTCCTATTCAGCGGTGCATTGCCCCGAGTCAGACGGCAGTCGCACTCCCGAGAGCTTTTTAAAGCTTCAAGAGCTCCCCTCCGAAGATATTGTTACACAGTCCGACAGGAGCAGGAACAAACTGGGACATAATCTTAATGTCTCATATCTCTCATTGCACTTACAGCAATGGATTCATTCACCTTCCGAGAACGTGGTCAGCGCATCAAAGACAAGACCCGAGCTCGGCTTACCGATAGACATAGTTGGAAACTGCCCAAGCAGACGAGCAGCATCGCGCCGTCTTACGTCTGGTCCAATGCCGGTATGTTTATGACTACAGACGTGTCTGGCGGGTTCATTGTTAATAACAGCTTTTTACCACCAAAACAGATCAAGATCCGGTTCCAGAAGATAAACGGACCTGGACAAGTTGGGCGTTCATCGGATATTGGTACTCCGACCTGGTAACAGTCTCAACATGGACCGCCGCCAGCGCCATAATGACTACAGGTCTGACGGCCACCGACGCTATCCTGATCGTCCTAGTCGCAGCCATTGTACGTTTCCCCCCTCTCTTTTCTTTTTCCTTTGCCCCTCCACCACTAACCCAAGCCACCACAGTGTAACGCGATCCCAACAGTCCTCAACGGCGCAATCGGCGCAGACCTACACATCCCGTTCCCGATCGCCTGCCGCGCCAGCTACGGGTACTGGCTCAGCTACTTCTGCGTCGTAACGCGGGCGATCCTCGCACTCTTCTGGTTCGGCGTGCAGAGCGCCAACGGCGGCTCCTGCGTCACCGCCATCATCACCGCTATCTGGCCTAGCTACGCGCATTTACCAAACTCCCTGCCTAAATCCGCGGGCACGACTAGCCAGGGCTTGCTGAGTTATTTTATTTATTGGTGTATACAGTTCCCGTTACTCTTGATCCCGAGTCATAGACTGCAGTACCTGTTTTGGGTTAAGACGGTGTTGGTTACGCCGATGGCGCTGGCGATGGTGGTTTGGATCACGGTGGCTGCGGGGGGTAATGGGGAGTTTTTTTATGCGCCGGCGACGGTGGGGGGTTCGGCGAGGGCGTGGTTGTGGTTGTCGAATTTGGTGAATACCTCTCCCATCTCTATTCCCAATCTTACAAAATCAAGTCACAAAATTTCGAGAGTAAGTAACTAACAGCAGCAACGTCAGACTAGCGTAACAGGCGGCTACTCCACCCTCGCAGTCAACATCCCCGACTTCTCGCGGTTCAGCAAAACACGCGGCGCGCAGCTATGGCAACTCCCCTTCATCCCGCTCTTCAAAACCCTCGTCGGCATCTTCGGCATCGTGTCTGCCAGCGCGTCCAAGCAGGTCTACGGCACCGTCTACTGGTCCCCCCTCGACATCATCAACCGCTGGCAGGGCTCCCCCGGCGGTCGCGCCGCTGCCTTCTTCGCTGCATCGATCTGGCTGCTCGCACAAATTAGTGTGAATGTTAGTGCTAATGGCATCAGTTTCGCGAACGACGTTACGACCCTCGCGCCTAAGTGGTTTAATATACGCAGAGGCGTTGTTCTAGTCCAGGTGTTAGGGGGCTGGGCCCTGTGTCCGTGGATCATAGTCTCGTCCGCGGCAGCGTTTTTGAATTTCATGAGTGCATATGCGATTTTCATGGCGCCTATTGCGGGCGTCTTAGTTGCGGATTATTGGGTTGTTAAGAAGAGACGGTATGATGTGCCTGCGCTGTATGATCCTGAGGGCATTTATCGGTATAAATACGGTGTCAATTGGAGGGCTTTGGTCGCGACGGCGATTGTTATCGTGCCGTTGCTTCCAGCGCTCGCGAAGAAGGTTACACCTGCGAATGTGCATATTAGTCAGGGGCTGGTGAACCTTTTTACGTTTAATTGGCTGTACGGGTTCTTTGTGGCGGTGGTTTTGTACTGTGGGTTGAATTACTGGTTCCCGGATCGGACGACGCTAATTCCACATGTGGTTCCTGGAGACGCATCGGTTGTGAGGGCGGTTGATGCGGATGTAGAGAGTGGGACGACGGGGGACGAGAAGATGAGGGAGGAAGTGAGGACGGAGCCTGAGAGGGATCCTTCGATTAAGGAGGCACGGGATATCACCGCAATTTAAACACGATATACTCTCTACAATCGCGAGATATACAATTCATTTTACAAATCTACTCTTTTCTAATCAGCCTGGCAAGTCCCCCCTACCCGCGAACACCCCTTCGGACACGGATACGTGGGATCGTTCTGCCAGAAGAAATACGGATCCGTCTCGTTTGTTAATACGCCAGCGATCAGCCTACTCGAATGCGACAGGTCGAAAGACTGTCGGAATACTTCAACGGATGAAATTCGAATCTGGCCCCAGCCTTTGGCTATGAGCGCGTCGATTGTCGTTCCGTATACGTACTCCCGGAACCCAGCCCACCTGATCGCAGACGCGCACATGGGACAACTCTCGGCGTTTGTGTAGAGCGTGAGGCTTGGGAAGGCGGCGATTGCTTCGCTAGGGGAGAGCTTGTACGGTCCCGATGGGTCGGTCAGGATGCGCGAGCAGTTATCGATTGCAGACATCTCTCCTGTGGTATCGCGTAAGCATAAGCCATGAAGGGGGGAATTGGGGTAGGGTCAACTCTGTTGTATTTTACGTACCGTGCAGCGTCGGGTTCCCGGTTGAGCTCCCGCTATTAGCGCCTGTGCAGACGAGTTCCCCAAGCCCCGAACCGCCCGTATGGTTTACGACTACAGCGCCAAACGCGGCATAAGGGCAGGGCTTGCCAAGAGCGAGGTTGGCTTGTCGCATCCAGTACGCTCTGGTACTGAAGGAGACGCCATTTATCGAGAGCGTCGGGTCGCTGATGAGCGTTTGGTGTGATCTTGAGTGGAAATGGTGATCGTCATGACAGAAGACCGGGCTGAAGTAAAGCAAAACTACTTGCAGCAGTAACGAAAGCCACATCGTGCATGTCTTAGTATCGAGTCCGAAGTCCGAAGCCGTTGAAGGTTAAAAAAGTAATTACAGCCTACGTAAAGTACATATAAGTACTGGGTACTAGATGAATCGCCACAAATGCAGTATCTATACAGTAGGTACCTACTAGGTAATACATACACCACGGTTATCAGCCGTATCAAGATACCAGCCACCCGCATTCTACCAATAGATATCGATGTGAAAGAGGAAAAGGCAATCTTTCAATTCCGCATCGATAGTCGTTGATTTTTCTCCCACGATGGAGAGCCCCGCGTCTTGATACTACATCCGGACGCCGACAGGGATCCCGCGATGCGTATCAACGGCCGTCTCCGATAGATATAGATATCTATCTATCCATGCATGTTGGTGATAGAGCAAGTTGGGGTAGTGTAGAGGATAAACTATATCAATCATGGCATTTGCGCTAATGACTACGAGATTTTGAATATATTGCTAAAATTTCTATTGTAGATCATTAGATTAGCTTCATCATGTCGCCAAGCACTATTACCGCGGAAGCAAGCTTCACGATCACGCCCATGGTCAAATCTCCTAAGGATAAACACGATTTTGGTGCGGTTGTGACTGATTTGGATTTGAATGACATCACTGGTAAGCTGCCATTCGAGTAATTCGACGGTTTTTATATTCAACCAATCCAGATGCGGATGTTCGTCATCTCTCCGATGCTATCTGGACCCACAAGGTCGTTGTAGTCAAGGGGCAGAAAGACCTCGCACCGATCAAGCAATGGGAGCTCGTGACGCGGTTTGATCCTGATTCTCCCCAAGTTCACTCACATGGCGATGTGAAGACGTTTAATAGTAAAGGTGGTTTGCTTTCCGTAAGTCCCCTAAGTTTCCCGACCTTGGAACCTGAATTTTAACGGTAGAACAGAAAAGCCGCGAAGTTGTAGGCATCCCAGGTGCCGAGAATGTCCGTTTGATCGGGAAAGGCTTCCAAGGAGAAGACCACTATGGTATCAAGAACATGACCATTACTAAGCCCCTCTCCCACGATTGGCATGGAAAAGAGCTACCAGAAGAAGAGTTCAACGCAGGAAATGTTCGGTTTCAGCGTTGGCATATGGATGCGCCTTTGTATGCGAGGGACCCGGCGTGGTTTACCACTCTGCGCTGTATAAAGCGACCTACTGAGCCTGAAGTCAATGTCCGGTGGGATGATGGCTCTGGTCACAGCATGAAAGTAGAGCCTGGCCTAACTGCATTTATCAGCAATGTTCAGATGTATGATATGATGACAGAAGATGAGAAGAGCATGGCTGATAACAGCTGGGTTGAATATGCGCCCCATCCGGTATGTCAAGAATTATCGCGGCTTAAAAATTGGATGCAAATGCTAACTTTTGTGACTAGTATATGTGGATAGGCGACTGCAAAGGTAACTCCAATGGCCTAGGCCTCGTGAACCAAGGTAAGGAAAAGAAGCTCGAGGATCTAGGTGATTTTGACTTGAAAGACGTGAAAACATATCCTATGGTCTGGATAAATCCTGTGACAGGAGAAAAGGCCTTCCAGGTCCACGGAATTTGTGTGAGAAAGTTGTTCCTTCGTTCATCCCCGGAAGAAGAGCTTAGGGTAATTGAAGACGTCGCGGAGATCAGGCAGTTGTTAAAGACTATCCAGGAAAGAGTGCTGAAGCCTGAGTATATCTTGATTCCAAGTCTAGAGGAAGGGGATATTGTCATGTGGGCGAATTACCAGATGTTTCACACGGCGATTGACTATCCGGCCTCATACGGACCCCGAACTATGCACCAGGCCAATATTGCTTCGTCTACTCCCCCAGTAGGACCAAATCCTATCACGGGGATGGCCTAAGTTATAAAGTACCTACCATGGGTAGCAATTGAAAGGTTGGAGATAACCAGCTCGGACAGCAATTCTTGAATGCGATGGGGACTTAGACCTAGTGCTAGGTCTTATGTATATGCTGGAGATCTCATATGATTCGTGTCCAAATTGGATTATTATTTCTTAGTAGGTAAAAGCGGCTGCCTTGAACAATCTCTCAGTCGATAGCTTTCTGAGCAAGTTCATCCGCCAATCGCTTGATATAGAAATCTCTCATATCAAATGGCAGCTTATTGAAGCCGTTAGCGACCTTTGAAATGTCAAGCCGACCCTTTTCGTACTATTGCAAAACGTCAGCAATTATCATATATATAGAAATTCGAATAATACGTACGGCTGCAAGATCTCGATTTCCATAAACGTCTCTCCCAGATGAGTAGCCGTTTTCGAGGTTTCGGAAGAAGACATTGACAGCAACTCCTAGGTTACTCAACGGAGAAGCAGTATGAAGCCACAGTGGTGGGAGGAATAGTATATCCCCTGGTTTGAGCACAGCCTCGTGAGGATGTGTTCCGGCTAGAGATGGCGATTCAAGCTGGGAAAATATATCAACGCTCGAACTCGATGAGCCCGGGGCAAACGATAGCCGGGTAACGTCTGAAGGTGGAAATAAGATGAATCTTTTAAAGCCTGCTACTTGGCAGTATACGTTCGCCATAACCTACTTTAATGTTAGCTGATTATACTCATACTTTATTATACGAACTTTCTTACATCGTAATGCAGCCACATGTTAACCGGCCCGGTAATTCGCAAAACGGAACTAAATTCATTTTCTTTCACAAACGTCAAGGCATCAGGCAGTTGAAAATCGCCCGCCAATTGCGGGAAATCTGCCTTGATATTGGCTGGCTGATCAGTCGGATGGTCCTCCGAAAGAGCACGCAGGTATAACTTGTGGCCTTTTTCGATCTCTTGCATCGTATTCCCAAATGATTTCGTGACATAGGCGAAGTTCTTGCTATTGAAATCCATCTTGGCGCTATTTGCTTCATGAACGACGACCTGGCAAACTGATTAGATTGAGACCAATAGTGTGTTTAGGTAATTATTACCTTTCGGTCGGAGCCAAGTTGCTTCACGATATATTCCGACGACCAATTTTGAACACAACTTCCCAGGTTTCCTCCTTCGATGACCGTCGGTTTTCCGGCTTTCATCACTGCCAAAAATGCTGCTGCTGTGCTGATCTGAACCCTAGGTATGTCAACCCTGACTGCGACTTGCCCATTATGTAAGGTAGACGGGACATCTTGGCGTTTTGTCTCATCCGTGAGTTCAACAATCTTCGAATGTTTCCATATTCGACCATTCCTTGCGATAGACGCATGGCTATGATGTAGTGTATAACTACCGCGGTTCCAAAATGTACCCATTGAGAAACAGGTAGCTCCGCCACCCATAACGACTAATTGGTTATCATCCGTCAACTCAGTCGAGACCCCTATTAACAATGGTCGAGGGCTGGCTTCTAAACGGTAAGTTGAAAGAATTTTATAGTGTGAGCCAGAGATGTCTATATTTATGACATCGATGTCTCGTGTAACTATACCGTCTGCGATGATTCCTCCGATCATACTTAGGTGCCCTTCGGGGGAAACAAATCCTGTGGCACCAAAACGGTTGATCAGACTATCAGGATGGTTGATGCCATTTACATCTCGGTTCCAAGGGCCAGGGTTCTCCATATCTGATAGAGGGATGAATGAAATTGCGGGCTTGCCAGTTTCTGGAAGCACCAAGACCCATCGTAGGATCTGTTTAGCAATAATACCATCTTGAGAGATACCTCCTGCTAGTACGCCAGTAAACTGGACGCCATCATTTGTCGTAGAGCGGATTGTCTCATGAAGACTAGCTAAAAGGCCACCAAAAATGGGCACATAATTTGATCCTATAATTTCGCACTCTATCCAACCAGAGCTTGGCGAATAGAGGAGACAGCCGTCGAAAATCGTCGACGATCCGGATTTGCCTCCAATTAAAAGTGCCATATTGGAATTACCGATCCTCGTTATACTATGTCGATAAATGGGCGATGGAAGATCATCCGTCCGTTGCCATGTGTTTACTCTTTTATCGAAAAGCCAGCAATCCCGCAGTGGGCTCGATGGAGAAGTCCTACCACCTACGAGTAGACTCCTATAATCGCCCAAATCTGTAACCGTATGACACATGCGACTACTGGGGCCCGTGTGATGGGTTGTGATATCTTGCAGAGGCGATTCCCTTTCATAGAGATCAAATGACCTTAACCGAGTATTGGTCCCAGACCCAAAAGTGTTAGCTAGGAACTCCTCTCCTAGGTTGTTTTTAAGCCTCATCCCGGCACCAAATCGGCGCTGACCTCGAGTACTAGAATATTCGTTGAAGTCTGCACTTAGAGGTGCTACCGGAATTTGAAGTCCCTCCATATTTTTCGAGTTGTTTGGTATTATTGGAATGCTCGCTGGGTTGGCCTTTGCAATGACTACACAGTAGTGCCCAGCAAATAGTGCGAATTCTTCCCACTCATCAAAAGGTTCAAGCTCAATAGCATCGATCTTTCTTCTCTCGTCCGCCGGCAACCATTGGTTGCTGCACCATATATGCCAGAGGGAATTAACGTCAACCTGTGACCAACCCCGACTAGCAAAACGGTCCCGTTGGGAATCGAGTGTTGGGTAAGTGAAGACGGATTTCAGGGGCGTCTTCAACTTCTCGAAATGAGCCAACATGGTCTGCGCAAATGGATGATCTTCGCCATCTGGAATGATTTGTTCGAGCAAGCAAAACTCAGCTAGCCTAGTTAGCCTCAGTCAATCGACGTGGATGCATGAGTGTAGAACACCTACCTTGTCCGAGGGTGCTAGCCCATTGAATAACCGAATCTGCGCCGTCAGTCTCCATGTAGGTGATGGAAACTTCAGCTACGAACATAAACTCGCAGTCAGAAATGTTGACTACGGCTGAGAGTGCCTGCTCTATATCTGAGATGCGGCGAAGATCACATCCGATCTCGATATATTGGTCACTCTGTAGTTGTACATGATTTCCGACGTTAGTCTTTAACCCTGTTAGTAGAGAGTTAAGTTCTGGGGTTTCTTGAACGACCCGACACTTCTTCTCTATTAAGTCGGGGAAATCAATGTCGACGAATTTAACATTTTGACAATGGTTCGGGTATCTTGTCATGCATTGCCAAGGGAGCACATCACTGGTAGAGGTCAGGGGTTACGTCAAATGTTGTAGTGGGTAAGATGAATTCTCACCTGCCACAGCCTAGATTTATAACCACCTTCTTCTTCTCTGAAGGTCTTTCAAGGAACCGACGCACGGCGACATCAATTACGTGTAATCGGATATAATACCCTCGATTGATCAGGGGAGCGCGTCGTTGAAATTTCTTGACGAAGAAACGAAAGAAGTGTGGCTCATCAGGATAGTATATGCGTTCAACACTCCTCTTGGATACTATACTGCTACTATTTGTCTTGATGTAAGTAGATTAGAAAAGAACAGTTTGTATTAGGTATTATGAGTTTGGTTGAGTAGGCAAGACGTACGGCCATCACCAAGTCGTCTAGGGCTTGTTGCTTCGCCGAACGACTAGGTCCCTTCTGGGCCTTTTTAACAGTGTTATGAGGCATCTTGGCTGAAAGAAAGCACTCGGTAACGAGAGTAAAATCTCAATATCAATTTAAAGAAAAATAGTATGCCGCCGAGAAGTGAAATAATAATCAGATAATCTTATGAGTTGGCCTATAATCTGTGTTTGAAAATCATCTTCGATATTCTAAAATGGAATTCCATTCAGTCCCGTTCTTTAATTTCGTCAAATAGAAGCACTCATATTATATCAAGAAATCTATAAGATGATAAAAATTGTGATAGCATCGAGATTTGATCGGTTCAAGGTTGTGGCGCATACCGGTTAGGTACCTAGGTACATAGCCGTAGGGCATGCGGCGGGCGATCAGCGCAAGGTTTCTAAGGTTCAGCACTGGGCACGGGGTGACGGGACTTAAAAGAGATCCAAGCTCCCGAAGCTACAGCAGTGTTACAACGAAATTATACCCTGTAATACCCCGCCTGACAGTGGCATCTGATTGATGACTTCAATGGTCTTGCCCCCCACTCAGCGTGTACAAACTCCAAGTCTCCAACCCCTCGCATTTTTTAGTACCTTCTACCATCCATGGATAGCATTTATCTCTTTATCTCTCTATCCCAACACCTTACCCTTGCCTTGAACTTATTTGCGAAGCCTTTACTAGGTAGCAAGCTCAGTTTCACGTCTGCTACGTAAGCTATTGATACATATCTTAAGCTTCTGCTAATTATTCCCATACTCATGAATACAGCTCCTAGTTTATCCCGACTCACCGTATTTTCTTTGTCATGAATCGGAAAGTTAAGCTCGAATCGAGACGGCGGTAACGTAGACGTACATACATAATATTTCCCTTGTACCAGTTCTACCTAAGCTTCGGTACACAACAACCAGTTCCTCTTAGCCGGGAAAGGCCTTGAAATAGCTGTATCACATATTTGAGACAGGACCGTCGGCGTTTATTCTACCTACATTGAATCATATTTCGCATTCCCAGTCGATAACCTCCGAATCATCCAACGGCAAATCACACAGCTCACAGCTCACAGCTCGCAGCCATGTCGAGCCCGGCTCTTAATTTCATTACCTTCAACCAAGACCACAGCTGCCTAGCTGTTGGTATGTCGACTCTTCATTCCCGGTAGTATGATCCGTACAGGTAGCTAACGACTTCAGGTACTTCGAAAGGATTTCGCATCTATCATACAGATCCGTTTTCTAAGATCTTCAGTAGCGATGACGGAAACATTGCCATTGTCGAGATGCTCTTCTCCACCTCCCTCGTTGCCCTCGTCCTCTCTCCTCGCCACCTAATAATACAGAACACGAAACGTTCGTCCGTTATTTGCGAGCTCACGTTTCCATCCGCCGTCCTTGCCGTCCGCTTAAACCGCAAACGACTAGCTGTCGTGCTCGAAGATGAGATCTACCTATATGACATAGCCAACATGTCCCTCCTTACCAACATTGCCACCTCTCCGAACCCCAGTGCTGTCTGCGCTCTTTCCCCATCTTCCGAACACTGCTTCCTAGCCTACCCATTACCGAAACCTCGTGACGATACTCAAGATAAACGACCGTCGCATGCGCCTCCAGCTTCTCTATACGCCCCCGTTACATCCGGGGACGTCCTAATCTACGACACCTTAACCCTTAAGGCCGTCAATGTCATCGAGGCACATCGTTCACCTTTATCATGTATCGCGCTGAACAACGAAGGCAACCTGCTAGCAACAGCAAGCGAGACGGGAACGATTATCCGAGTATTCTCAGTGCCTAGAGGGCAGAAACTGTTCCAATTCCGACGCGGCACCTACCCTAGCACGATCTACAGCATGTCATTTAACATGGCTAGCTCGCTTCTCTGCGTATCCTCCACCTCAGATACCGTCCACATATTCCGCCTCCAGCAGCCGGGTCCCAATACCAACACTCCCTCCGAGACACCCGGCTCCCCTCGAGAAAACCGCTGGTCCCGCAGCCGCAGCTACGACAGTGGTAACGATTCTCCTAATAGCACGACCGGTTCACCCCGCAGCGACGTAGCCGATATGGCGGCACCGCCGCCGTCTAACCCGCCTATAGTTAATCGCCCTAGGCACAGCGGCTCCTTCAGTAGTATGATCCGGCGCTCGTCGCAGCTTATGGGTCGCAGCGTGGCCGGCGTCGTAGGCAACTACCTGCCGCAGACCGTAACAGAGATGTGGGAGCCGCTACGCGACTTCGCATACATCAAGATCCCAAAGAGCTCATCCGCGTCGCCGCGCCCCGGCGCCTCAGCCAGCGGCCAACAGCTGCGCAGCGTGGTAGCCATGAGCAGCAGCAGTCCGCAAGTAATGGTCGTCACAAGCGACGGCGGCTTCTACGTATTCAACATCGACATGGAGCAAGGCGGAGAGGGCTATTTAGTTAAGCAGTTTTCGTGCGTGCCACCGATAGACCACCTTTTCTCCTCCTAGACGAGACGTGATCTCCGATCTTGAAAACTAACCCTAACTATCCATGTACTAACCAACTTTTTTCTAATTATACAGGGTCCTCGACAGCGACGATAAGCTCGATGCCTCGAATTACGGTCCCTAGAGCGGCATGTACACCGAGGAAGAGGAGGACGATAAGGACGAGCGCGTCTGGCTCGAAGGCTCGGGCTGGATGCTCCTCAATTGCTGGTCTGTCCCGAACGAAGAATGGGAATCATCTGGGAGGCGTTAAATGGTTATAATACATACATACATTTGGGGAAGGGGGGGTTAGTGAAAGGGGAGGAGGGGGGTTCATTGCTGTGTTTTTTTTTTTTTTTCAATCTTCTTCTCGAGACACTTCGATTTCTTAATCCAGTTGACCCCCCCTTTGTCTCTGTACCATGGAGGTCTTCTTACTAGCTGAACGAAAATCCATACCCCCAAAACAGAAGACGGATATTTGTATTTTTCTCGCGATTAAAGGGGGAAAGGGGAGTTGCCTCTTTGCGTTCTTTTTTTATTTTTGCATCAGCGTTTGGCGTCTAAGCGGCTTTCTTCGGGGTATTAGCTACGAGATGTTGAGCATAAATTTATCATACTGCTAAATACGTACGTGTTGTTGAAATGTCCTACTACGTCACGTAGAGTTAGATCGATGGTGGAGATCCCGACATATGAAAGTGAGATGGCACGTAAGTTAGATAGCAGCCGGTCGTAAAATATCAGTTTGAACTCGCATATATATAGCCTAAACAGTCTCATTATCGAAGATATCCAAAGTCGTAAATCCGTTAAAAATCCCTAAATTTCCCGTCGCTTCGTCCACGCCGCGTCACGTACATGTAGGTACATACTACAATCGGCGTTACAGCCGTACAACAAGTCAAACATACCCCGTTCCCCTTTCTGGGAGACGAGCGATGAATAGGTAATGGGTAAACATGAAACTTTCGCAATAACACACCTTATGATAACCAGACCGCCCATCCATCCGTACAGAGAAACAGAACGATCGTAAAGTAATAAAAAAAAAGCCTCCCACCCCAAATCAACGACACCACAGCGCCGCTGGATGAACTGATGATGCAACAGGGTTCGGATATTGGTACCCCTCTGGTTTTTCAGCCCTATCCCCCTTTCTCAGGCACACAATCCATGAATACAGATGCTGAGTAGATAAAAAAGATAAAAAAAGATGTCATGTCATCCCGTCGTTAAAGGCGAAGATATGTGAACGCTCCTCTTCATCCACCGATCCCGTCAACTCCGAGGTGATATGTAGCCCAAAAATATCGGTAGTTGTAAATTAAAACAATGAAGGCATGTACCACATGCTAAAGAATCTAGCAAGATAGATGTGCGCGAGAAAGGGTGATGAGCATCGCCTTTCCCCGACATTTCCCACTGTTTGTCGTCGTTACAAGTTACGACCTGTCGTAGTAAGAATTGTGTCCGGCGCCGAATCCAAATCCCGCTTTAGACTAAGCACAGCAATTCAATCCCCGACAAGGACGGTTGTTAGCTGTGCCACTCGGATCACTAGACGAGATGCTGAATAAGCTGGTAAGCCAATAAGCAAAACCTCTCCTTAACGAGTAAATTATCTCGCATAAGGCCGATTCATAAGCGCAATCTCTCTCGCGATCTCCCCCCATTCCAGTTCTCTCCGGACGGGATGTCGGGCATCATAGGCATTCTCAGCCCGGTGCCGCCGAACTTGGAGCATCTCCTCCCACTTGAGGAGCTCGTATGCAAACCTCAGATGGGGCTGGATGATCACGTTGAGCCGCCTCGCTCTCACGAAGCAATACGCTCGCGGGAACGAGAGGTTCATGGTGCGCATCACTTCCGCGATGCAGATGGTCGCGCTGCGCGACACGCCTACTCGGCAATGGACTAGCGTCGCTGTGCCGTTCCGGCGGCCACGGTCTATTGAGTTAAGTGGTTAGCTAATCAGGCGGGTCTCGGGAGGTTGCTATTCGGGAAGGTCCCAGATCACGACTTCGTGCGCTAGGACCAGATTGTGGCTAAACGAGTGGGTATACACACCGATAAATTCCAAACACTTCTCAAATTCTTTAGTCAACGGATCGATACCATTATCCTGAACCTTCTCGACTGCAAGCACGTTATCCTCTCCCCACTCTTCTAGCTCGCCGTCTCGCCACATGGCTGTCTCTCCTACGCTGAGGATCTGTTTGATCCCCATCGCTCTCAACAGATCCGGGTTATTGGCATGGCCCAGATTACCCAGGTACATATAATCGAGAATGCGGCTTGGAAATGAACCGTCGAGAGAAGCGATCCACTTAGGCTCGTGTTTCACGAGGTTTGTGATTTCTAAGAGGCTCTTATCTGCGCAGACGGGTGATTCGTGGAGTAGACGAGGCGCGATTGAAGTTAATAAAGACACGTCGGTTGGGTATGCGAAGAAGTTTCGTTTCATCATCGTATGCAACTCCAGCCAGGCCTGAGGAACTGGTCGGCCGGTGCTATAGCTGAAGTACGCGATACCAAGCATAGTTGACTCGGTATACCCATCAGCACAATGTATCAGAATCTTCCGCGGCCGGTTCGTCTCAACTTCGGTGGCTTCGGATGTATCTGACATATTAGAGTCGCCATCTACGTCGGTATCCGACTTTGAGGGTAAGGTTCCGTGCGAGAGGTGCCAAAGCCACTTGCAGGTTTCCAGGATACCATCAGCTTCGGCATGGGACCACGTCGGCGGAAGGATACTCCCAGATGAGGGGAAGTCGAGGTAAGTGTGTCTCGTATCGTCATTAGGGCCTTCAGCAATTACCTGCAGAGCAGCAGGGTTCAGTCGACCGAGATCACTACACTCGATTAAAACATCGAACTGCTGCTGCTCTTCGCCCTCAGGCTCAGGAGTTGGACCCATCCACACATTATGTGAAACCTCGGTTGCTTTTGTCATTGTATACATTTCTAGTCGCTCCTGGTGGAAAAAATCCACCACGGCACCTGTCAAGCGGCCCTCTGAATCGATCGAGACAATTTCGCTATGCCTTTTCTCAAAGTCTCTAAACGGACTAACACAGATGAATGTATTGTATTTTGGGAGGGATTCGTGCTTCCTACGCCACTTGGATTGTGCTGACGCGATTTCCCATCCCAATTTGCGGACCAATCCGACGTCTTCGCCATATACGATAATATCGGAGGTTATAGCTGTTTTAGCGGCTTGGATCTGAAAGTTCCGGACGGAGAATCCTTGTCTTGGATCAACCTCGATAAATTCGCCGTCGGCACAAGGGTTCATAAATTCACTAGGGGCAATAGCTCCCTTGAGACGTGAAGTTGATAGATCACCATCGGCCTTGACAACTGTGATACCACGTAAACAACTTGGTATCTGCCGCATAGGTTTGCTCCTTGTCGAGAAAAAAGTTTGTTGAATCTGGTTACAAGGATGCAACCCATGGAACCAGGGAAATACTTGTGAGGGTTCTGGTAGAGGTTGTTTAGAAAGATGGTCTAAAGAGGCTGCTACGTCTGCAGGATGGATCTTATATAAAGCGAGCGACCCCGCCTCCAGATGGTCGAACTTATCTGGAGGGTGGAGAAGCGATGATCGATGTCGACGTTCATCCTCACGGCCCGGAGAAGGTGGAGGAGTATTTGGTTCACGGACGTGTGGATGTGCTGGGCCGGTAGGGCAAATTGGAATATGTTTGTTTGGAATGGGCACGGGCGCGGCGCTGGATACTTGTTGGGTATTGATCGTTTCGAGAGATATTGGAGAAGATAAAGTGACGATGCCAGAAGAAGAACGATGTGGTGGAATTGGCCTGGGGAGAGCAACTGTAGTCATTGTCCTACTCATAGTACTACCTAACGTTGTTGTTGAAGTGATAATTGCTGTTTATGTTGTTGAAACGGGAGTGATTGATATTGGTAGTGGTATTAAGTAACCGTGTGATTCATATCAGGGTCAGGCTCTCAAGCTTAAGCTCAGGCTCAGGCACAAGGGTACCTGGTAGGTAATTGCTGGATAGAGCAGTCGATACTTAGTTGCGAGGTGGACTAAGCGCAATTGCGGGGAGAACGGGGAGGACGGGGCGGATGGGGGAAAGAATGGTGTGGATGTATGTATGTACAGAATGTACGTATGTGGATGAGCGGGGGTGTTTAAGGTTCCAAGCTTGTCGATGGGTCGATCCAGGAATCTAATCGACGATAACGTTAGGTTGCGGAGGAACTTGGAACTCGGTACTCCTAGAGTTAAGTAATACGTCAACTTCCAATGTTAAAGATAGTTTGTATCTATAGCGAGTGAGTGTGAGTTACGTAGGAAAATAGATGAGAACGAAACGCAATTCCTTTCATTGGTGTTGGGTCTCTATCTATTTCTCTTGGTTTCACTGTTGTTTGTTGCAAAATAAGAGGGGAAGGGGGGGTAGGCTATATGTGGCATGCATAGGTGGTGTAAGAGGGACGAAGTGGATGTGGAAAAAGAAGACGAAACAGGAATAAGAGGGGAACATTGAAACAAAGTCGTAAAATGTACATACCTAGAAGAGAGGGAAGAGGCAATAGACAACGGCCGAAAATGAAGAAACCTGGATTAAAATGGCAAAAAGTTTGGAATTGGTAAATGAGGAGGAAAAGAGAAGAAGACGTGATGTAACTAGATATAATGTGTGTGGAATGTACGGAGGGTATATCAGACTCGTTTCACGCACTCGACGGTGTTGATTGGGAGTTGCAGCCTTATCGCGCATCCCTGGTTAATGCAGCGTGCAGCGCGACTTCCCAGTGGTAGTAGGCTAGGTACAATACCGTGCCATGCAGTTCCCCGGCAAGTCAGCAGTAGAACTGGAAGGGACACTGGTGTACTACTAGGTACCAAGCGGTAGATAAGACGACTTGATTTGATCGATAGATAAATGGTGCGAGATTGGGTCAGATGGGATCATGGTGGTTTATAGTTTATGGCTAATACCTCCCCATCTTCTTTATAAAACATAATGGATATCCCTCGAATACACCAATTGCCAGAATATAACCCATATACCCATTAATTCACTTTTGTCTATTACACAGCTTGAAAGTCATATTGTGTTGTTTCTTTGATAAGCCCGTGAGAGTTACTTCTGTATCCCGTAGCTAAGGTGTAACTAATACAGAATAGTACGGACATTTAGAAATTACAGCGTTTCCTCCTCACAAGATGCCAAGAACAGCATACATGGTTAGTCTGGGTCTACCCTGTCTAGTGCCAGCCTTTGAAGCAGGCCTTCCCCTCCAAATAAAGAGGACCCGATGTTCCAAACGTTGATCAGTGCCGGACGAACTACACACTGCATAGTATTTCCCATTTCCCTGTTCTATGTGACCATAAGAAGAAACAAAGGCGTCAATAAAATGCCACCACGAGATGTTGAACTTCTACGCCAAAGAATAAAGTTATAATGATGAGAAAAAGGCGCTCAACATGTCAGTTTCGGTCAAAAGTTCCTTTTCGTTCGGTGTGATGTTTCCTAAACCAACCGCCTAACATGCATGTGGCTTACCTACCTAGGTATATACTCGTTTCTACTTTTCTACTTTTCTACTTTTCCGAGGGGGTGAAATTACGGCATACGCCTCTTGATAGGCTGACTTGCCGCCTCCACGGCTCTCAAGAGTTTCAACGAAAGTAACGAGGCCACGACAACGTACATGTAAAACGGCAGTGTAGCACCTCTCTCTATCTAGATAGCCTAGATGTATGGGGTTTATAAAGCACATCGAAGCCCAACGGGGTCTTGCGGGTGAGACGAGGGGCAATAGGTCGTCGTCGACAACTGCAACCTCAGATACTAAAGAATCGTTGGCCAATGGAGGAGATTGAGACCCCACCCACAATGTGCAGAATGCGCAGAATGTGGCACACTATTCTCTATCAGTCTATCAGCATTTTGTATTGCCATATCCGAGGCTGGGGTTTCATTGGCAAGCTGCATACTCGACCCAATCGCCAGGGACTTAGCAAGAGAGCCACTAAGATCGGCAGCTTCGTTGTAATTGTCTGCAATACACATCAGGGCCATTACAACCCTCGCCACCATTTCATTACTATATCGGCCATCGAGATTCGCCGTTGAGGGTCTTCGAGTTTACTACAGTAACACTAATGCATGCTGTAAGTAGGTATGTAGTGCATTAGCATCCATATCTAGTTGACGTTCGACGTTTAATTCGGCCGGCATCCCTTGCCTTAACTTGGAGCGTTTATTGACTCTCCTGCTGTCAAAGGGCAAACATCGGATACCAGGTAATGTTGAATGTTGAATGTCGCAAACCAGGTACCTATTTCAGTAATATGCATGGTTGCCGGGACGTTAGCTTGTTAGATGAAGCCCTACGATAGCCATAAACGTATTAGACCCCACTAGCATTGCGTACACATCTAGGTACAGCAAGCATCATAGTATGGAGTATAAACTTTAGACGTCTATTCTTAGCTTGACCCGATAATCTCGATGTTCTCAAACTTACCTCGAACTCAACCATGCCCTGCTAAGCCCTAACCTCAATAGCTAGCACAGCGACATATCATTGGCACTGTCAGTTTGACATGTCGTCGAATGTTACGCGTACTTATATCAGTGACGTGCCATCTAACTTTATTCATATTGTTGCATACGACACATGTCAGGGACGAATTTGCGGCTGCAATGCAAAGGTCCGCTGGACCTTGACCCTGAAGAAACGTGGATCTATTGGTCTTGAGAGGAACACAACATTCTCGACGATGGAACTTCGATTCTCTTTCAAGAATCTAGGGATGATAAATAAAGTAAGGCGAAGTTGAGATAAGAATTTCATTGGCTAATCGAGATACTGGTTCGGGACGTCATTGCGGATTCTAGAATTATTCCAACCATACAGAGAAAAAGGGAATGGTTAGAGTTGAGATTAGTATCAATTGATTCTGCTTGGTTACGTGAGAGACCCATCAAAGAAACGAATTAAGGTTTTTCTAACGAAGCTTCTAATATGGATGTATTTCGTACCGGGCACCTGCCTGCCAGCCTGCCTACATCAAGCATGAGGACATTGAGGCGTGACGGGCATAGCAGCTGCTGATCAAGGATCTATGGATGCTAGAAAGAAAGCCACAGCGAGCCACAGCGGGGAGTGAGGCTGCTTATCCACTACACCCATCCACTCTAATCCACTCCGATCCGTCCCAATTAATTTATCTTCAGCACCACGTCACCGCCGCATAGAAGCACATGCATGTGGCTAAATGACACCCTACTTACCGACTGAAGCTGTGCCAGGTACACGATGCTTTTCTACCTCCGAATTAAATGCTCTAATCAACTGTTGATGCTGTGAACCGACCGACAACAAGCCTAGGTTCATATTTGAATCCCACTGCCCGCACCCGCTGTCGTTTACGTTTACTATTAAGATTACGATGCTTATTTCCTGTGCGTGCAAGTAGCCGTCTCATCATCTCGCCGTCTCTTGCCGAAAGTCCGACAGACCGCCCTGAGCTGAAAAAAGGAAATTCCAGGCACGTACATTTTTCAAAGCATGCCTTCCTTACCACGGCCGCCTATTTCTAGCCTCGCCATCTCTTTATGGCCTTGTACGCGATAGATTTCATAGGCCGTGAGAAAAGGCAAGATAGAGAGATTCGAGATTCGAGATTTCTAGTAGATAATCATAATACCATCCGACAATGCCTCCAAACAACAACATCCTGAGCTACTACGGAGAAGCTCCGAAAACACACAACTATGGATCGAGGTGCCGACTAGCTCCGGTATCCCATCCTTTTGCCTCCTCCAACGTCGATGACATCCCACCAGTAAATGCCCAATACTTTTATCTGTCTTCCGTTCCCATCGATGACCCTCTTTCGACTACAACTATCGCTGCCACGGCCGATCCAAAATCTGCTAGGAGCAGCCTCCGACCCTTCTCGCCAGGAGATAACAATGCGTTGGAAAAGGCCTGGCTTAGCCTTGCTTCAGATACATACCGTCAAAATCACACAAACGCGCTACAGAACCGTCCTCCCAGCCCGTGTCTCGCGAAAACAAATGGCGAGAAGTTGCGTAGTATCGTACACCGCTTAGCCGTGGAACACGCTGAGAAGCATGCACGCGAAGGTCCCTCTGCGGAAAAGGTCCAGCCTTTCACCGAAGGTCTCCCCGAACCGGAAAATGCTGCGCTTCTGTGTTGCCCGGAGCTTCTTGTTGATGTTGGAGTTGCTCTGAGGACATCTTTCTGTGCTGTAGCGAGGCGGAAACAGACCGAGCTTAACCGGAGCATAGTTTCCCAGGCTGTTATGAGTGAGATGAATACACTGCATACTGATTCAACGGCTTCCGTTACAGAACGACGCGCAACATATAATAGTACACCTCCCAGCCAGTCACAGATCGAGTCCTTGATGAGGTCGAATCAACAGGATGAGCGACCTAATAGTCAACATTCCGCAGGGTCGCAGCCTCAAGTATCAGCGGATAGAAGCCCCAGTGTTCCCGTCCCTACGAAATCCTCGCTGGCGAACGATGGTATCTCGGGTAGACCATTTGTCCGTGTAGGCACTCCAGAAAGTCCCATTATATCTCCGCCTGCCTCTTTTCCGAGGGCTGCTACATTTCGACCTAGTGGACTCGCTGAAGAGATAAAGAGTGGAGAAGCTAGATCCCGACGTGCTTCATCAGTAGGGGATCCGGCTCCGTCGCCTAAATATACCGAGGCTCCAAAAGTCGTTTCGCGTGAAGTAACGGTCGGTGTCTCAAGGTTACATGAAGTATCTCTTCCTTCTTTGCAGATGAAGCCGATCTACTGGTCACCTGTTAATGATATCGCCACTGTTTTCCGAGCAACTTGGTTCTATCGGTATAGTCACCATGCCAGTGTTATTAATGAGAATATTTGCTAATTTTTAATAGAGATGATATGCGGCCCATAGATCCCACCGTAGCTAATCAGCTCGAGGCCGGGTATCGAGAGCTCAAACCTCACTCTGAGACTTGGAAAGACGAACTTAGATGTGCCGTGGACGTTGGTCCTCTAGGGGAGGAAAAGGTCTCACATCCACTATGGCCGAAGCCTCTAAATAAATCCTCTAAGAAGGCCGCAGATCTGATGGAACCAGCTATATCCAGTAGTCCTTTTTGCGCGGCACGTTGTTTTCGTGGCGAAGCGGCCGCAGAAGGTAGCTTACTGCCGACTCCGAATGAGGACAACTCTTCTTCTGTACCAACCCAAAAGAAGTTTGAACAGTATCATGTGATTTACAAGGACGATACGACAGCATATTTACTCAAACCCAGCCTGAGGCCTTCTGCATACTATGGTCGCAGACCGGTGGCGAAAATAGTGAAGGGCCTCACTATTGGCATCCCAGTAGTGAGAGGGTTTGACCTTGAGGCGTGGACGAGGAGACATGAGAAAAAGCAGGATCAGCGACACCAACAAGCTCCATCTCTTCCTAGTAATCCCCAAGAAAATGTTAGGCGCGATATATGCTTAGCGTGTAAGGCTGATCAAGAACGCGCACAAGTTACGGACCTTGTTCTAGTTGTTCACGGCATTGGCCAGAAGTTAGCAGAGCGAGTGGAAAACTACCATTTCACACACGCCATAAATGCCTTCCGTCGGGCTATCAATATCGAACTTCGAAGTAACGCAGTCAGAGGGGTGCTAAGGCAAGGGCTAGACGGTATAATGGTCCTTCCTGTGAATTGGAGGCAAAACCTATCATTCGAAGACGGTGGTCCGATGAAGGAGGAAGATAAGGAGCACTATACGCCTGGTGGCTTTACTCTGAAGGATATTGAGCCTAAAACCATCCCTGCCGTTCGGAGCATGATATCTGACGTTATGTTTGATATCCCATTTTACATGTCGCATCATAAACCGAAGATGGTGGCGGCAATGGTCGGCGAAGCGAACCGTGTTTACAGGCTCTGGTGTCGAAATAATCCAAGCTTCGCGGAAAAGGGAAGGGTTCATCTGATCGGCCACTCGCTCGGTAGCGTCATGTGTATTGAAGTCTTGTCGAGGCAGCCGACAATTGTGCCAGCTCTACAACTAACGAAGCAACCCCAATTGAAACACTTCGAATTCGATACCAAGAACTTGTTTCTTCTTGGTAGCCCCGCCGCTTTCTTCTTGTTGCTTGAGAGAGGCGCATTGCTGCCAAGGAGGGGACGTCGGAAACCAGGAGCAGACCTCAGCGATATTGTGTCAAAGGATATTGTTGGGGATGCGGGACGATTCGGCTGCATCGCTGTCGACAATATCTACAATGTTATGGCTAGAGAAGACGCTGTCGCATATCTGCTTAATGGGACCCTAGACCCGATGTACGCCGCTAGCTTGAAGACTGCGTATGTGCCAAGCACCTCGACATCTTTTCTGCAATCAATGGGCAATGCTATGCTTAGCATTGTTCCTGGCGCTGGGGCATCAACGGCAGCGAATGCCCCAGTTCCAAGACCTCTGACTGTACGCCTTCCATCACAACTCGAGCTCGAAGTTCACGATTTTACACGCGAGGACGTTGCCGAAAAGAAGGCTTTTCTGCTTAATGATAATGGACAGATCGATTACTTTCTGCGATCGGGCAGCGGCCCACTTGAATTACAGTATCTAAACATGTTGAGCGCTCACACGAGCTATTGGGTAAATCACGACCTTATCCGCATGCTATGCATGGAGATAGGAAGGAATCCTGGGAAGACGAATACGCTTCCCGCGATGAGAGCCGTCAAGGCTACGAAGCGAGTCATTTCTTCGACGGTTTAAATAGAGTTTTATGCCTAGTTCACGAATAAATTTGCATGCATGGATACACTTCTGGCCTGGCGTTTGGGAATTTACTACTGGATTGGACCGGGAATGATGGCATATAGACTACGGATACCCATTGCCAATATGAACAGATTTACACACACAAGTTGTAACAGCATAGTAATACAACAGATACATCATCTCAAACCTATTCATGTTGCATCCTGAGGAGGCATTTAAGATAATCTGTTACTCACATTCGGTCCCGAGACCCTTGCTAAGGTTACTAACAACGAAAACCCTGTTCTCCTGTGTTATTCACGCAGAACCGAACTTGGTTATGGGAGGAAATGCGTGATAGTGCTGCGAAGTGCGCCGGGATGCTACGTCCCCAGCCGCCCCAACCTGCAGGGCCGGTCGAGATGCCAGCCCTCCAGCCGTCGGTCCCGATTCCGTCTCGGTCAATTTCGCCTACCTCGTTATCTGCCCTATCGAAATCACGGGACCGCATACGGTATGTCTATTATTTACGCCCGTAACGCGCGTTTTGGAGAAATGCACTTATACAGCATTGCTTTTTCGAGGGGAGCGCAGCGAATATCGATGAAAAGCGATTAGTGATCTAAGCCAAGTGGGCTTCGGGGAGGCTTCACTATCGAATTTGTCTCACTTGTCAGCCTTGACCGGATTACCGTAGCTAGAAAGGTCGGGGGTTAGGTCATGTGGGTGGGCAGTTACTTGCGAATGTGCGGACGGGGACGGGATTTCCTCGTTGATGGGGTCTCAGCCTCATGGGACTAATGGAATATCAACGTGGATGTGTCTTGGAATAATCTGGAGCGGCTCTCTGGAGAGTGTCCCGTCAACGACGGCCAAGACTTAACGGCATCGGGGAGGTCGTTCACGCAGAGTCATGCCGATATGCCGCGGACTAGCGGCTCCGGTTCTCCTAGGAGCAAGGAAGCTCAACACTTGCAGACACCTCTCGTGTTCTTGACGGTCATCGGGAGGTGATTAAGAGAATAACCGCAATTATCGCCATCATCCCCGATGCTATACGACGTATAACCTATAAGAAATCCGGCGATTTCGTATAGCTCGACGATGACCTCATGTCATACACACTGACGTAGCAAAGATTCGAGAATACCCCTATCCTAGCTGTGCTACGATTGCCGTTGCTATAGTCTTCAGCCTGAGCCCCGTCTTCCGCTCTGCTTTAGCTCGCTGGGAGACAGATTCCGCCGTGGTACCGTACGACGTCGGGGTCTTCTTTGATGTTCTAATGTCTTAGATATAGTTAGCTTGGACTGCGTGTCGTAGAACTTCTGCACTCTAGTTGATGTCTTTTCGCCAATACTTACCTCAACATGATCTGGGACAGCGTTATCTGGTTCTACTTCGTGTTTCTTCCAGCGCTGTAAATCAAAAGTTCCTGGCGGAACTCCTCTATCGACGATTCTGACGACGTATTCTATTGTTGGGGGTACGGGAGTCGAGTTTCTAACATGTGTTCAGGCCACGATAGGTTCTTTCGGATATTCATCAACAATATCTGTTCCTGAAAGATTAAAAGATGACGTGTCTAGTTTGGATCACGTACAACTAACGATATTCTACGCTTACTAACAGACCTCTGACCCTATAGAGAATATGGGCGGCGCGGACGAGGCACAGCATAAAGGAATGGGCAAAATCACGTCGTCCAGATAGACTCGTCAGCGATAGGTAGGACACCGAGCCTGGCTTAGGAAACCCGATCTAGTTCTTCAACAATCCTACATACATCCTGAATTAACGACGATACACTAACTTCTCACCTGTTGGTAATACATACCGGCACCAAGGGAAGCAAGCGTACAGTGCTACGGTTTGCCAGAGATCGAGATAATGCACAACAGCTGTTAGTACAGTTCCACTTCACAATATTAAGACATAAACCAACGTCGTTCTTCGAGTAATCAAACGTGACCAAGCCCCGTAACCACTCCAATCTCCGTCCTCCGTCACTCGCCAGCATTCGAGGCTGGTACCTGTACGACGCTCTCTACGAGTCCTACCGCTTAAGGTATAGTAGTTCACTTGGACGGATTTGTCTGGACTCTCTACCTACCTATCTATCCATCCAACCCCATCCAACTGATGAGATGATAGGAGACCGGTCCCCCACCGGCTGCCGGGTATAATTTGCCACGCAATCTTGATCATATGGCCTAATTATCACGCATCAACCCACATACTGTACGAAAAAATATCGTATTCAGTCGGCACTAGTTGCCTGTATCTGGGGCCTCGCGAGTCGGTACACGAGAGAATAGCCTTCCAGAGGGGATGAGACAGCGATATGCTCCCACTGTGCCCGCGAGGCGGCCATTCGCATCGCTATCGTCGTCGGCAGCTGTCGGCATCCGAGTACATACATATGAATGCCGTGCTAGGTATTAGGATTTTGATCACCCCCCCTCTCTCCCTAAAAGCCGCTCTTTTACACGTACCCCTATTGGCATGACTTACCTTGCATACCCGACAATCCAGATCTACACCGGCCGTGTCTCGATATGTGTATCAGGAGTGCCTGATGCTGCCCATAGGATACCGCAGAGTAGATACTTCGCCACTGCCCCCCAGTATTAAGGGTGAAATCCTTTGGCTACGATGCCGGGAGAAGTAAACCGGCGTGAGCATCTCAGGTCTGCTTCATCTAAAGAGGATGCCAGATTCTAGGTAGATAAAATTCATATGTATGTGTCTACTGCCAACAGGTGCCCCAGGTGCCCAGCTCAACACAGCCCGGCTCTTCTCCAGTCCACAGGACCGGGAGGTGGTCATCACTCTGTCTCGAAGTGGCACGTAGCCTTCCAATAGGGCTAGAAGTCCTTCCTCCGCCACAAACCACACAATCCACATAAACCTGCCCCCTTCCTTCCGCTCCTTTTCCCCTGCCCCCCCAAGCCATAGCGTGATTTCCCCATCCTCGACCACTCGAAAGTCCCGAGACGGCCGCTTCTAGCCCCCTCTGCTGCTGCATCGTAGTACATATAACTCGGCATCGCGAGCATGGAGTGTAGAACGTCACTGTGGGTATCGAATAATTCGGGGATAAGGCGATTAAATAATGTACATACATCCATATGTACATACATATATACTGTACGTATGGATGTATGTATGGATATGGACGTAAACTGCCGACTAACTGCCAACGGCAACAAGCCCCCCCTTGTTCCCCATACACAGAGTGCCAGTGGCACAGGCACGCATTGTCCTTTGTAGATTCGTCTTTTTTTCCGTTGGAGCCAAGACCTAAACTACACAATCCAATCCAATCCAGGAAATCGTACAAACTTCCAACAAGCCGCTATTCGTCCCAAAGCGGTGAAAACTCCCCAAAACCCATAAACCGCGAGATGTGTATCTGTGTACATGTATGTACGTATATGTATCGCTGTTCTGTATCTAGGTAATCGGCCGTCGCCGTCGTAGCTCGATCTCTGGCGCGAGTTTAATTAGCTAATCCTTCCCACCTTCTACTTCTTTCCCTTTTTCTTGCTTGCTTGCTCGATCTTATCCCCGATGGGCAGGATATGTAATACGTGCTTGCCCCCCTGGACACATTAGAAGAGGGGAGAATCCCTACACTGTCTGGCATACATACATACATACATATCTACCTAGTAGGCAGGTATGTGATAACTAAGTGCTGACAGCTTGCGATCGCCGTCGAGGAAGCATGCAAGAGAGAAGGGTTCCGAGCCATGGGTGAGCCACCGCTGTCTACCTATCTGTCTGTATGTACGTGAAATGTGCTTGCTGTCTGACTACCTATTCGCCCGTCGACGGATTTCGGCACCGGTGGGTTTTCCCCTGTTTTCTCAAGGGGTTTCAAGGAAGAGCCAAAACGCAGAACGAGGGGGATTAAACCTAGGCCGGTTGGAAGATACATACACTGATACAGGATAATACAGTGAAGGGTAGCTTCGGCAAGCGTTCCTAGGATTCGTTCGAGATCCACGGACCTTGCAAAATTAGAGACCAGGGCCCGAACTGGAAAGGCAGATTTCACATCTCCCTATGTATTTTGCCCTCTTTATTTTTTCTTTGACTAATGCTCTTTTCCGTGCTCGAAGCCTGTATGGTCGTATGTTCATAAGATCCGTTCTATTGTCCGAATACTCATCGTCGTCGAGTTGAGATGCCAAGATTGACTAAACTGGGTCCACGATAGCGTCCTTGCAACACTGAGCCGGGGTAGGTTCCTGTATGTACGCTTACCTAGTATTAGTGTATGCACAATACTGTAGATTTCGACACGACCACGCGCCGACGTGTTGCATCTCACTGCAGCATGTACGGTATCATGCGTCAAGTCTATGCTGTAATGTATTGTACCTACAGCAACTAGACACCTAGATCCCCTGCATCCCACGAGCTGAAAAGCAGGGGAAAGCATGAGATAGGAAGGACGGTGAGCTTATTATTAATCTCAGGGCCAACAAGGGACAGACTACCTAACTTTCAAGGTCCCCCGGAAACATGTAGGAGCCAATATCTATTTACGCAGCAGTAGCGGAAAGAAACTCAAATCAAAGACCAACCTTAGCCCTGTCTCTCTCTTCCCTCCCCGGCCGTTCTCCTTATGTTGCCTGCGTCTGTGTCCTTGCTTCGGCTGAAGGATTCATCTTCGACCCAGCCCTGCGATCCTTCACGCCTCTCCAGCTGCCGCATCTGACCGGCGCTGGACGAATTGTTCTAGAAGGTAACCCTAACGAATCACGTACGCAGCCGGAACGGGTTAAGAGGACAAGGCAGATGGATTCGTTCTCTCGGTTTTGGTCCCCATCAGTGCCATCACACGCCCACGAAACCGTACGTCTGCCGCGTAATCGAACATAACGGTTGGACAATCCAGTCTCCCAGTCCGCCAGTCAATTCGCTTAGCGCCAACCCCTCAACTGGATAGGGTATTAGGGTGGCCTGCTTTGCTGCTTTGTCTAGTACGATTTGGTGAGGAGTTCGTGATAAACAAGTCTAAACTCGGCCGTAACGATGGATAGGAAGAGGTCTTCCCTCTTGGCATCCATGATCTCAAATACACTGTATTGTTTACTTACATGGTCTTAGCCAATTACTGGACCGGGCCGATGAAAGCGGACGACGGAGTCCAGTAAATAAGGCCAAGAGAGTGGGGTACTATCATCTAATCGTCCCTATTCATGCGAACT